CCCAAACAGAAGGCAGCAAGGCTCCTTTTGCTCTTTTTGGCACACGGGGGTCCCGGTGCCACCTCTGGACTAGCAGAGCGTCTGCCCTGAGGGGCCCCTGGCCAATAGGAGCCCTCCCAAGGTGGCCGTGGGGGCACCTGGGGCTGCAGGCTGGTCACCTGGAGAATAGGTACAATCCACTGGATTGGGTGACATGTGGATGGTAAGTAGCCGGTAGCCAGTGCACTCTAGAGCAGGGGCCCCGAGTTTGCTTCCCGCTCCTGGCCAAGGACTGCTGCGAGTCCGCAGGGCCCACTCCCTCGCCCTGAAGCCCCCCGCACGGCAGGTGCCAGGGGTGCGCTGATTCTCCAACAGCTCCTTCCGCGTGGACATCCCCACTGTCCCGTGTCCACAGGCTGCGTGGTTTCCCCGCACACACATCCCCCTTTATTTCCCTAGCCTTTTCCCTAGGGGCAGCCGAACCAGAAGCTAAAATCCCCCTACCTGCATGTGCCCCAAGGTCAGAGGGACACTGGGCCAGCCACCAAGCCACTCACTGCCTCAGTTTCCTTATCTGAAATGGGCGGAATCGTCTGGCCCTTGGCTGGGCCCACAGAGATCACACAAGGAATGAATCCTCGTGCCCTGGCTTGCTCGGGCTGCCATACCCCCAGAACAGAACCCAAACAGCAGAAACTTCTTTCCTCATGCTTCTGGAAGCTGTTAGTCCGAGCTCCAGGCGTGGGCAGGTTGGTTTCCCCCCGAGGCCTCTCTGCCTGGCGTGTGGACGGCCGCCTTCTCCTGGTGTCCTCTCCCGTGGTCGTCCCTCGGCATGTCTGTCCCAATCACCTCTTCTTACAGGGACACCTGTTACTCTGGATCAGGACCCCCTCTGCCCCACGCCCCACCCCCAGCTGGCAAGGACCTCATTTTACTGTCATCGCCTCTATAAAGGCCCCACCTCCAAATACAGTCACCTTCTGAGGTGCTGGGATGAGGGCTTCGCATGTGGATTTGGGGGTTCGTGGTGCAGCCATAACATCTTACGTGGCTGCTACTTCAGGGAAGGTCATAAACTCAGAGATTAGAAGTCACAAGGGAAGACCTGGGCCTTTTTGGGGTGATTCTTGCTGAGCTCCCCTCCTCCACCCCTTCCTGGGGCCGCTCTTCCCACAGAGATCTCTCTTCTGGATGAGCCAGGAGGAGCGACCTGCACTTCCGCTGGTCCCCTGCTGCTCGTGTCACCACGGAAGGCCAGCACCCTGAGCGCCCAGGGACAAAGGCCAAGCATGAGCCACTGCAGCTTCCCGGGCAATTTTGGAGTCTGTGCTCACGAAGCCTTTATCCCGTGTTTGGTCATATTGTACGTGATATTCTATACGGGAGCAGACACTTGCCTTCAAACAACCTCAGTCACTGTAACTGGCAAGGGAACCTCTCTGGAAACATTTGCTCACGTAACAGGGCTGCAGGGGAACAGCAGCTCATGCTTTTTTTTTCCTTGTGATGATTTTTAAAGAATTTCAACCTCAACGATATTGCAAGATGAAAAATGGATTTCCCACTGGCTCTCGAGCTTGGTCTAGTCTTACCGCTCTGCATTAATTTTGAGGCTGTCCACATGGTGTGCCTGCTGGAGACGGGACTCCATCCATCTCCAGGAAAAGGAGGCGTCTGCCCCTCTGCTCACCGCTCCCTCCACCCAGCACTGCACAGGCAGGGGGCTCAACATGACTCCCGCCGCCCCAGTGTGGGGGCTAGCCAGGAGCTGCAGCCGGCACTGGAGCTGGAGAGGTGGCAGGGGTGGAGAGGGGCCCAGTGTGGGGGCTGAGGCAATAGCACAAGCCCAGGGTGGTGACAGGAAAGATAATGTCTCATATGGTGAGCACCCCACTTAATGGAGTGATGAGACCACAGCTCTCAATGCTGTCACTAAGAAGCTTGGGGCCAAAGTGGTTCTTCTTCCCTCTGCAATAATCAGACCCACCCAAACCTTTTCTTTACTCATTCATCAATTCATTTCTTCACATTTATTTGCTCATTTATCTTTTTCATTTAAATCATTCATCTATCCATGCATCCATGCATTCATCCATCCGTCCACCCACCCACCCACCACTCACTCACACCCTTCCATCCATCCACCTATAAATCCACCCACCCATCCATCCATACCTCCCTCCAGTGCTTGCCAAGCACTTCCCGTGAATGGCCTTGTGCTGAGTGCTGAAGACAACAGAGGATTCAGACCCAATCCTTGACTTCAATGAGGTTCTAGACTGGTGGGAAGACTGACCACAAACCAGTCAGTGCTGTCCAGGGAATGTGGGCTATGACGTGATGAAGGAGGAATGTCATGAAATTCCTTCTGGCAAAAGAGTGATAGTTGGGCAGGGAAAGTGATGGGCCACTGTAGCTGTGACGCCAAGTGGGAAGCGTGTCTCCTGCCAACACTACACCCACGTCCACACAAAAGCACCAAGGAATGACACAGAGAGATCCAGACTTGGGTGTGGTGCCCAGTGGCTATCCTGGGGTTGGAAAGCTATGTGGGCAGCCAGCAATGGGCAGCACCCAGCGATATAGTGAACTGTCCAGCAGGTCCCTGGCCCTTGAAGGCAGGGTGTTGAGGGGCACCCACACAGAGACAAAGACCATGTAACCAGGGCTCCCCCAAGGGGTGGCCCTCTGTGCAGGCCGGATTCACAGAGGGCCAGGATAGAGCCACATGAAGCTCTTGCTGTGGCCTCCCTGGTCCCTGGAAAAGACTCTCTATTGAGGTAGGAAGCCTGGTGGGCCCACACACGGTCATTCCCTGCCTTGGCATCCTTTTAAGGGCTCTGGGATGGCTCCTCCCTTGTCCTCAGGGCCACTGACCCACCTCCGTTCTCCCTGTGGGTGCGAATGGACCTACCTCCGTTCAGGCCTGTTAACAGGGGTGCTGGTCCTCAGACTCTGCACATCACAACTGCCCACGGTGCTGGAAGGAGTGCAGACTCCCAGGCCCAGCCACACGAGTCAGGGTCAGTGAACCGTGGGCCCTTCCACACACTTGGAACTCCAGGATATATTACCTCAGTCAGCCCCTGCAGCTCTGCAAACAGGTATCTTGGCTTATGAAGGAGCAGACACCTTTGGGGAAGCTAAGAAATGCGCTCAAGCCTTCAGACAGTAACCAACCCCATACAACTTGAACCTGGACCGAACTCCAAAGCTGGTCCTTTTCAGATGCTGCCACCAACCCCTCCAGGCCACCAGAAGGAACATCTGGTCAGGGTTTTTAAGGATGATGACCTAAGAAAACATTCCTAAAAACGTATTTTGTTTTTACAAGCCTTGCTCTGGAGTGATGACGAAGAATTTCAAGAGAGGTCAGAAACGTTTGCAACCACATTTGTGCACCTGGAACAGACACCCAGGAGCTTTTTTCACATCTGGTCTTTGCACCCCAAGCCTCTGGCCTTTGTAAGACCAAAGTCGAGTTTTCTCTTGCGGGCCTCCTTGCTCAAGAGACTGGCAGGCCTACCTCTGAGCAAGTGTGTAAAGGGAGTAACCATGCTCACATGCCATTGCATGCGACCAGCACCGCCTTCCTCTGGGCATCACAAAGCTGAGCCACCTCCCTGGGTCACTGGACAGTCTGGTGGGACAGGAACCAGCTGAGGTCAGTCCTTGTGCTGGAAACGGGGCGGGGGAGCTCTCCTGGCAGCTGCCAGGAGCCCTGGGTCCTCCAGAGCCTTAGTGACCTGGAATCAGGACCAATGCCCCCAGCCCGTGAAAGTCTCTGGATAGAATTTTCAGTGACACCAAGTGGCTGTGAGGAAAGTATGAAAGCAAACCTGGGACTGAGTGGCATCGCTGAGTCCCCAGTCTGGAGGCGGAGGGTATCTTTCTGTTCCCTGTGGAGAGTGGACCTCCCACATGCACGTATGGTCAAGCCACCCAGCTAAGCTGTTCTGCAGGTGCCTGGGGGGGCCGGCCTGGCACTGGGGCTCCCTGTGGAGCGTCCGTCGGCCCCACTCATCTGTCATGAGCAGTTAGGCAGCCAGTGGCTCATGCACCCGGAGGACATTGCCTGAAGCTGTGTGGCCACCCGTCATCTTCTGACAGGCCCGCCGTCTGGCGTGTAGAACACGCTCCATGTAGAGTCTGGGGTATGCCCAAACAGCCGCATGAGCCATGTCCCATAGAGGGGAATCTTGTAAATAGGATGCACACCCTTGCATGGTGCCCGGTGTGGCTGGGTGCTGGACAAACGCTGACCTTGTGGGAGGAGTGGTTCCAGGGACAAGACCACCTTCAAGAGTCAAACACTTAATGGACTGAGCCCCCAGGGTTAGTCTCATAACTAAGATTTTCAAAAAGTGACTAAGTTACAAAGCAAATATACTAAAGCAAGTTAGCTTTTTATTAAAAACAATATGAATAAATGGTCTTAGATGGGAAGACTACTCACCATAAAAATATAAATCCTCCTAAGAGTAATCTATAGATTGAACAAAACCCCCAAATTCCAAAGAATCTTTCATTAATTTGGGAAAGGGAGAGCACTAAATTTGACAAAATAATACCAAAGTTTGCACGCCTAAGACATTTTTCTCAACAGATGAGAGTGGATACTGAAAAGTATGAAAGCCACAATAATGGAAACCATAGGAGCTGATGTAAGAAAAGACAGTAAGATGGAAAAGGGCAGAAATAAGCCTGGAAACGTCCATGATTCTGGCATTTGACGCAAGTGGCAGTGCTGAGGGGCCAGCCATCCGGGATCCCTATCTCACACCATATCTCAAGGCAAATTCTTGGTCATCCAAGAACTGTGATGCATGCTGAGAAAAACAGATGAAAGTAGAAACAATCTCAGTGTGGGAGAGAATGTTCCAAACATGACCTCAAAGGCTGAAGCAGAAAAGAGTCTTAGTTTTTATATATGTAAGATTCCAAATTTTATTTTAAACTTCATGTTAAATAAAAATGAAGAAAATACAATCAAAAAGCAAATGATAAATGAGGAAAGGTAATAGGTAATACGTGTGTCCCAGGTTTATTGTTCTTAATATGTAAAAGATATTTTTAAAGTCAACAAAATACGGTAAAAACTGAAAGCTCCATTAGACAAAAAGCAAGAAGGGGCAATCATCACAGAGCATGTAAAGATAATCTACAAATAGCTGGGAAGACACGCCCAGCCTCCGTAGGGAGCATCTGCCCAGGAGGCACCAGTATTCCTTACCTCCCAGACTGGAACCAGGAGGACACCGTTGGTAGGGGCAACAGAGCAGGAAAGGCAGGTGCCTTCCCGGGAATGGCGTGATAATGGGGAGAGCTCTCAAGAGCCATATGTGGTTTCTTACATGTTAGCCCACTTCAATGCTGACAAGCACGGGACAAGGCTGATTCTGTCGTTCATGCTGTTTGAGTGGGGGCGCCCCGGGGATCTGCCCAGGCCATCTGGCCCTGCCAGGCTCTCACCCTGTGCTTGTCCTCCCTGGCTTTCCAACCTCTGACTCGGCAGCAGTAGTATTACCAGTACTCGCTGGTCCCAGAGAGCCGGCTTCCAGGAGCTGACCCAGGCACAGAGCTGCTCTGAGCAGACACTCTCTACATTCCGCAGGAGCCTTGTTAATCTTGAACATTCGTGCTGCTTGACAGGAGAAATGCCTGAGAAATGCCCTTCAGCAGGAAAAAGAGTCCAGCCAGAGGATGGCCCCGTGTCTGTTAGGGAGATCACGTGCACACACACAAGTGATGAGCACACAGAAGGGCCTCAGGAAAGGGGTGCACCACGATGCTACCAGAAGGCAGGATGGACTGTCCACTGGGCCCCAGGCAGTGTGGACAAGACGGTCAATGTTCAGGCCTCAGAGTGGCATGAGGCAGACCCGGCACGAATCCAGGACAACACTGAACCCAATGCTGTGCCCTCTGGCCCCAAAGGAAATGATGTATGAGCAGTGGTTCTTACTGAGAGTGGAGTTGTGAGTCAGATCTTCCTTGACACTTTCTATATCCTGAAATTGTGCCTGAGGTTGGTTTCACCGCTGGCTTCTGTAGGCTCTAGGGCGTGCCAGCTGCCGGCTGTTGTTCTTGCAGGATGGATGAGACCCCGTAAACCAACACGTGGGTTCAGTCAAGTGAGCTGCATCCTTGGACACTGGACCCTGGACCGCTTCTTGGAGCTGCTGGTAGAAGCTGCCCACTCAGAGGTGGGCTACATTCAGGTGGACTGCTCCCCAGTTAAACTATGACATGGATACTAGCAACTGCTCACTCCGTGCTGCACCGAGCACGTCAGGATGGTCGCACAGGTGCTCTGGGCTGGACCACTTCCTGGCCGTTTGGCCCACGGCGGTGACTGAGGCTTTCAGGGTCAGCTTTCTCACTTGTAAGATGGATGTGCTCATAATTCCCCTCACATGGCTGTCTGATGGTCCAGGAGATGGAGATGACAAAGCCCTGCATGCAGTAAGTGTTCATTAAAAGCAGCTCCTCTCACCCACTCATTGCTGCTGGCCGTCCTGAGGTGTCCAGGGTGGGGTCGGGCTCTCCCTTTCTAGTCAACCACTATGGTAATTCCCAGAGCTGGAAATTCAGTCTTGAAAAACAGGTGCTGCCCTGGCCTTCACATGCTCAGAGGCACTTGGGGCTATTTGGAAACAGAACGCCATCCTCGTTCACCTGGCAACACCTGTGCTCCGTGGGTGCCCGGGTCATGTCTGCCCACTGTGCTGCTGAGTGGATGTGCTGAGTGGGGGACACACGAGCAACCGTGTGTCCCTCCAACCTGGCCTCCACCGGAAGGCAGGCGTGCTCGCTGGTACACAGGGCAGGGAGCTGCCGAGCAGCACGGGGCATGCTGCTGACAGCAGAACAGCCGGATCCAAGCTGCAAACTGGAATGAAGGAATCTATGGACACAGCCGGCAGGTCAGGACCGTAAACTGACCAGACCAACGTTAATGCATTTATTTTCTTTGGAAACATTTCCTTGATGGAAACTTCTATTTCCATATAAAATGGGTTTTCTTCTCCTTAAAAATCTTAAACTACATCATTCAGGTAAGCTTAAAATAGGATTTAATTATATGATAAAGTCACACTAGTTGACAAAGAACCAGATTGGGATCATTAAGCACTTAGTGAAGCAGAGCTTTGTAAAAAAAAAAAATAATAAAATCCCAGAATGCAAAAGATCATCTGCCCAGAAAACCTCCGATTATGAGCAGCTGGCCTCCTCTTTGGCACACACAGCACGTGCAAAGTCCTAATTATCCAAAACAAAAAGCAAAATAAAAAAAACAAACCCAGTCCATCAGGAAGAAGTAATCCCAGCAAATCTGGTTGGAAAGGCTGGCGCAGGACGAGCAGAAGTGCGTTCAGAAAGCAGCAGCAATATCCAGCATTGTCTTAACCAGAGGTCAACATCTTCATTAGCTTGATCAGTTTACTTAGACTGAGCTGTCATGGTGCTGTGATTACAAGCTTTGATTTCTTATTTTTGTTTTTCCAAGTCCCACTGGTTTATTTTTTGTTTTTATTTTTTTATTGGAGTTCAATTTGCCAACATGTAGCATAACACCCAGTTCTCATCTCATCAAGTGCCCCCGTCAGTGCCCGTCACCCAGTCACCCCCTGCCCACCTCCCCTTCCACCACCTCTTGTTCGTTTCCCAGAGTTAGAGGTCTCTCATGTTTTGTCTCCCTCTCTGATATTTCCTACTCATTTTCCCTCCTTTCCCCTTTATTCCCTTTCACTATTTCTTATATTCCCCGAATGAATGAGACCATATGTTTGTCCTTCTCTGACTGACTTACTTACTTCGGCTTTATACCCTCCAGTTCTATCCACATCAAAGCAAATGGTGGGTATTCGTTATTTCTAATGGCTGAGTAACATCCCGTTGCATATATAGACCACATCTTTACAGCTTTGATTTCAAACTTCCTACATGGGGCTTATTTACAGTAAACTCCAACCACCACGATGGCCTCTTCAGCACTTTGCTCTCCTGAAGGACAGCGGTCCAGAGGTTTTTATAGAGCTACAAAAAACAAGCACATACATCAATAATAAACAAGATTCCTTAGACAGCCAAGGAGACAGACGCAGATGCCCTCATAAGCTTTTGTTGAAAACACAGTAAATTCTATGGCACTTTTTAGAAAAGTTTAAAATGGTTTCATTTATATAATCTTTTTTTTTCTAACAGAAGACAACTGGGAAAGTGTAATACTTTAAAACATGTTTATGGTGACAGCTTCACATGCGTCCTCTTCTCTGGGAACTCCCGTAGGGGGTGGCCCACACGGCTCCCGCAGGTGGGTGCCAGCTGTCTGCTCTGACACTTGCCCTCTCCCCTGGTGGCTGCCGGATGGGTGGGTACCCGCACACGGACCCTCTCCACCTGCCCCTTCTGGGCCAGCGGGCCACCTCCTCCAGCACACTCACACTGAACCCCTCCCGCTGGGCTGCCCCCTGGGAAAAGCAGAACAGCTTTTATTCCGGAGGAAAGCTGTGAGCCTTGTAGAAGCAGATGACTGGTACTTCATCTGCCCCAGACACAGTGCCCAGGAGGACAGGTCTCCAGTCCACGGAGACACGGACGGAGCCTCTTGTGTACCTGGCTGGCTTCAACAAATTTTACTTCTTTTTCTTCTTCTTCTTCTTCTTCTTTTTTTTTTAAAGTATAAGGCTCCACACCCAATGTAGGGCTTGAACTCACAACCTGAGATCAAGGGTCGTGTGCTCCACCACTGAGCCAGCCGGGCGCCCCTTACTTTGAAGAATCCACTGTCCCTGCACCTGCTGAGTGCACTTGCTTGTCCCCTCCAGCCCTCTGCTCTGCTTGCTCTCACAGAGACACGGACTCAGGCTTGCTTTCTCTGCACAGGTGACATATCACAGTTTGGAGCACGATACTCCATTTAATGATCATCTTAAATAACCTCTGACAGCCGTATTTGTTCACTTAAAACGATCTTCTCGCCTAGCAGCACCTGGTTTAAATGTGCGCCATATAAACCTTCCTGTCAGGTGAGGTTTGGGGATTCCACCGTGGAATCCAGAGCCACAAAGAGCCTGCACCACAGGGATGCCCTCCTGCCCGTGAGCAAGGCTGCGCCTCTGCAGGGCAGGCACGCAGGCAAAGGGCTCCAGTCCGCCAGCTGCTCTGGCTCCTTCCACACCAGCTAACACTCCCATGTGCTCAGGGCCTCCTATGATGCCATGTCCAGGCGCTCCGTGATGGGCACCACTCACATGTCTCTTCCTCAAGTGCCAGCAAGCCTGGTGCCTCATAAGCGCCCCCACAGGCATAGGCTAGCCCCTCTCCTGTGGCCTCATTGGCACATCCTCCTGCCTGTGCCCACTCGGGCCCTGGCCACACCGAGGGCCGAGGCCTGATCTCCTGTCTTCTCTCCAGGCGGTAGATCTCTACCCACATCCTGGCTCTGCTGCTTCCTGGCTGGGCAGCTGTGGGCAGGCCACCTGGCTTCTCTGCATGTTGGGTTTCTCTTTGGCAAAGTGGTTTTTTCATAGGCCGTGTGGGAGAGAGCCAGATGCTCAGGCCTGCAGTCAGAGGACCGCAGGCCTCCATGGATGTTACTGTTTCCATGCCGGCCCGGGGACTTCTGTCCTGCCCACCCCAGGGCCCAGTACCACCCCAACCCCAGGTGTGGCCCGGGCTGAGGTCAGGGTGCCTGCCTCCCTGCCGGGATAAGTCTGTTCCCCTGAGCACACATGGAGGGCTTCTGTTCCACTGAGACACAGCAAAGTGGCAGCAGGTGTCTCGGCATGAAGGACATGGCCGTGGGGGTGGGGGTGGGGGTCAGGTGGGTCAATCCTGTTGCACTGCTCATAGTTGTAAGACCCCAGGCAAGTGGTAACACAGGGACAACACTCTAGCGGATGCTGAGCAGACCTCAGTGTTCATCACACTGAACATCACATAGCTCGCAGGGATATGAGCTGGCTCAGTACGGAGCACCATAAGGGTCACACAGCAGGACAAAGTAGGGGCACCCGCCTGGAGTGCCAGAAAAGAGCTGAGAGGCAGTGTCCTGCTTAGACATAATGAATGGAAGTGCTCCAGGCAGCAGCGAGAGCAGGTGCAAAGGCCCTGAGGCAGGAAAGCCTAGCATCATAGAAATGAATGGGGATGGTGAGGGTGGAGTCCTGAGGGCAGGAGGGGCATAGCATAAAATGACCTTGGAGAACCAGACAGCCAGAGGGTAGGCTGCCTGGGCTTGGGATGCAGGAATGGGTGTGATGTGCATGCGGTTACGGGTATGAGGGCTATTGCTGGAGGCCTCAGCAGAGGAGCAGCCTGACAGGATCACTCTAAGAAATCCTTCTGGAGCATGGCGGGGCAGGAGAGATCAGGGAGCTGAGCCGGGGCTGCAGGGAAGCGAAACTACCAGGGGTGAGTGGTCATTGATGGAAAGCCAGCATTGTGAGACATCAGGAGGACCCAGCTCTGGAAAGGGCTCCCGGGGGTGTGAGAACAGGGAACAGCCTTAGGGCCTGGCACTGGGCAGGGCTTGGGCTGACCCTGGTACCCCGGCCCAGTTAGGGTGTTGCTGCCACCGCACATCTCAGAGGCAGGCAGGCAGGCTTGGGGTATGGCTAACTTGCCCCAGGCCACCCCGACCTCTCCTGGCCACCCCTCCAGTGCTGCCCAAACGTGACAACTTCCCAGGAGGCGCCAGGGCCCTCCTGGCCCATGCCATCATCTCAGACGCCGCAATGATCACCAGCAGCCCCCAGAGCAGCCCCCATGCATGCTCGGATGCCCGGCATTTCCCACCGGGGGACTCACCTCGCCGTCGGCTCTGCCAATTGGTGAGTCCAGGACAAAGTCGGGAGGGGCGATCACGTCCACCAGGGCAACCGCATCGTCTTTCAGCTGTTGGAAAACAAAGTCCATTCGCTTGGCAACCCCCAGAAGTCTCCATGGTGACCACTGAGAAACAGAGCACTGGCCGTTTGTTGCTACAGCCCGCTAGCAACGGTAACCCTAGCAGACGCGTGCGTGGCTTGATTACTAACGCATTATCTTTTCGTTGGCCTGCAACACAGATTCCCTCGGTGTGTGTCTGAATATTTTCACCATGTTGCTAATCACTCAAGACTTCCAATGCGTTAACCGTTTTTCAATAAGGTAGGAGCTGCTCGTAAAAGTGGCTCTGCAGCCCACTCACCGGCAAGCGTCCTCAGATTTGTGTCTGAATCCTCCCTGATCTGGGCAGCTGCTGCTGTAGCAGGGGAAAATGTGTCCGGAAAAAATGTGCCAGAGAAGGTGTTTATGGGCACCTGGGAAAGTCGACCTGTGAAGGCTGTCTGGTGCGCAGTGGTTTTAGGACTCCCCATCCCCTCCTGCAAGCGATTCTTCAACATGACACATGGAATTTATATGAGACTCCCAAGAACATTCTTGAAATGCAGAAACATTTTTTTCTTGAGATAATTGTGAAGTGTCCTGGTGGCACCAACCAGAGCCCTGGAGTGGGACAGTTTTGGCGACGCAGAGAGAGCAACGGGCCATCTCAGAATAACAAAGTCCACACGACAGAGGTGAGCAGGACACCCTCATGGTTCAGATGCTGCTTGTTAGTGCACCCGCTCCCTCACTCCACGGCCATGTGCCCTCTGCCCGCGCGTCACAGATGAATGAGCCCGCCCACTTCAGATGGAACCGTTGGCAGAGCCAGGCTCCTTGTCTACATGGGGGTCAGCACACATGCCACGTAACAGCCTGAAATGGTCGGCTCAGTGGCCACCTCTGCCGAGGCCGCAGCAAAACACCCACAGATGATGCACAAGTGAACTGCCGGACGGGGCTGGCACCCCCTCCACCTGTCTGACCCATGACCCAGTCCTCCCTGGTAGCAGGTAGGGACAAGGCGTCAGCTGCCTGCCTGCCTACCTGGGCCACAGCCGCCAGATGCGGGTTCCGGGGGACATGGCTATTTGGGAGCAAGGTGAACATCTGCTGCATTTTTTGTAAACAGCAACCCCCCTGCCCCCACCCCGGAACACACAAAGGAAACCCTTCCAGTCACTGGCTTTACTGGAAGGAACCTACACGTGGCCACACCCCGGTACAGTGCAGTCACAGTCACACACTGAACCAGAAGCCCCAGAGATTGGGGGCTGGCCGCTGGTGAACTGAGTCAGGGAGGGGCTGAAAACCAGTGGCAGAGGTGTCACCTGGAACCGCACTGACTCTGAGTGCCAAGGAGAAATGAAGTGTCAGGTCACCAGTCCTTTGAGACTTCTAATTAAATTATGTCCCATCAAGAGGAGAGAGGACTCTGGTAGCTACCGTCACCCAATCTGGCGGCACCAGCATGCGCGGCCCTTTCACTGTAAGTTAGTCAAAATCAAAGATAAACAGCCTCGGTCACACAGGCATGTGTCCACGGCCAACAGCCATGGGGCTGCAGTGAGCGATGGGACGGCACAGCTCCAGGCCATGTCCGCCACTGCAGAAAGGCCCCCTGGACCGAGCGCCACTACAAAATAAAGTGGGGGCTCAGTCCACGTGACCCTTCTGGGTGACAAAGGTCAAAGAATACAATACACAAGAAAACTACCCTGAAACGAATTTAGTCGGAGGCTGAGTCCCTTGGAATGCTCGAGAGAATTGCCAAGGTGGCTGTATGAAGTGCATTCCAGACTACGGATTCTAAGACGTTCCCTAAAAGTTACTCTTTCCTAACATTTCTGACAGAGCCATATTTTCTTAAATCTTCCTGCTCGCTTGCTTATTTATTTATTTATTTATTTATTTATTTATTTATGTATGTATGTATGTATGTATGTATGATAGTCACGGGGGGGGGGGGGGCAGAGACACAGGCAGAGGGAGAAGCAGGCTCCATGCACCGGGAGCCGGACGTGGGATTCGATCCCGGGTCTCCAGGATCGCGCCCTGGGCCAAAGGCAGGTGCCAAACCACTGCGCCACCCAGGGATCCCTCTTCCTGCTCTTGTTTGATGTTTTACACGCTCGAATGTGTGGGAAGCAAAGGCGGGTGTGTGTCAGTGGTTACATGTAACATGGGAATTGTGATGACCAAGAGTGACTGCAGCTCACCTGTGAACACAGGGTCAGGATGGCATTCTGGATCATTTTTCCTGCTTGCTCACCAGAAAAGTAGCCACCTGTAAGCACAGGACTGGTTACACCAGGGTCTGGTACCCGAAGCCCATGTTACCCCACCAGGTGCCCCCTTTGTGTGAGAATGTCTCCCCTCTGCAGGAATTCGCTGGCTGGGGCCAGGGTTCCCATGTCCCCTTCCCATCACCGTGCAAGTGCCAAGAGGTCACAGCCAGGCCAGGACACCTCCTCGACCATTACCACTATCACTCCCACCTTCACCTCTACCACTACCATCACCTCTATCACCATCACCTCTATCACCATCACCCCCACCTCCACCACCATCACCCCTACCTCCATCACCCCATCTCCCACTACCTCTACCATCACCTCCACCACCATCACCCCCACCTCCATCACCATCATCCCCACTACCTCTACCATCACCTCCATCACCATCACCCCCACCTCCACCACCATCACCCCTACCTCCATTACCCCATCCCCCACTACCTCTACCATCACCTCCACCACACCCCCACCCCCGTCACCCCCACCTCCACCTCTACCACTACCATCACCTCTACCACCATTACCCCCACCTCTATCACCCATACCCCCACCATTACCCCACTTCCACCACCACCACCCCACCACTACCATCACCTCTACCACCATCACCCCCCCCCTAGCACCACCATCACCTCTACAGCCACCATCATCATTACCCTACCTCCATCACCCTCACCTCCACTACCACCATCACCTCCATCACCACCACCATCATCATCCCCAGTGCCATCAACTGCACCACCTCCACCTCTACAACCACCATAGTGGGCTTGCGGTGGCATCTATTGGGCTCAAGGCCACAGCCTGTGCCTATGAGTGCACAATCTTCTCTTTGATTTTTGTGAAGAAAACTGTCCATACATCAGAGTTGTCGAGTCTTAGTGCATGGTCTCCTGCCCTACACCCTGCCACTCCCTGGGTTCAAAGCCCACTCTCCCCTTTGTAAACCTAGCCACATGCTCTCACCGCCTCCTCAGAGCAACACCAGCCCTGAGCAGGAAGACCTTGTTCTTGGTGAGGGGAGTAGGACAAAGAGTCTTACTCTTCAGGAAGTCCACATATATGCACAAGACATGAACAGATACATAGTCTGACTGTAGCATTAACATGTCCCAGGAGATATTAGGGAAAATGGTCTGAAAATGTTCCTTAGAAGGATAATAATGGAGAAAGATGGAGAAATTCAGGCTTACACCATTTTCACCAATCTCCTGGGAATCAGTCCACATACCACCTCCTCCAGGAAGCCCCTCTGGATCTACAGGCTGGCATTCCTGAGGGTGTCTCCCAGCAGCCTGGTCTTGTGTCTATCTGGGCCTCATGGTCCTGGAGGTGTGGGCTTCAGCTCTCTATAGACCAGCTCCCTGCCTGGCTAGTACGGGTCTTCTGGGAATATTCTCTGAACTGAACTGGAAACAGACTTCAAACCCTGAACGAAAGGGAAACGTTGTCCTGTCCTGATGTTGCTTTTTTTTAACATGGAATCCAGGCTCACCTGCCCACGGTCTCCCCCAGCCTGTGATGAATGCTTAGTACACACACATGGAAGGTAACATCTCACGGGGGAGGCAAAGTTCCTGAACAGGACGTGGCTGGATTCCCGGTAGGACAGGGCAGGGATAGGGCGGATGGACAGGTGTCCACTGCCCAGGCCTTACCTTGGTAGAGCAGTGCCATGTGGTGGCTCAGGGTCCACAGGGCGTAGAGGGCACTGAGCCGCCCCAGTACGGCCCGCAGCGGGGGCGGCACGCTGGGCTGGTGTGTGTACTCGTGGAACCTCCGCACCACCGTGAGCTCCAGGAACGCCAGAGCCAAGGGACGGCAGTAGTACGCCTTAAAATAAAACACAACAGAGCCGTCGACCCCTGTGAGCAGGCGGCTGGGGCCCCAGTTACAGTGTGCTGGGGGCGGAAGAAGAAAGCCTCAGGAACACAGACCCAGACCAGAGTGCCAGTGCATGTCCTGGAGGGACACTGACACCAAGTGACGCTGCACATGGAAGGGGGCACAGCATGAGAATCACCCACATGCGAACAGCACGGGAAGGCCAGAGCCCAGAGGCAGCCTGGGCTGAGGCCGGCGCTCATGTGCTCCTCGACCTGGGGAAGCCCAGTGACCGCTCTCTGCTTGGCCCCACCTGGAACGCACAGGGACAACCGTGCCTGGCCCTGCAGCACAGGGGCACCCCCGGGAGGTGTGAGGGCACACAATGGGTCCTCCCCGGCACAGAAGGCACTCAGCAGGCCGCCCCAGCTGCTCTGGCCCCACAGAGGAAACTGTCTCCCGTCCCGCTCATGAATCTGTCCAGAAGCAAGCAGTGCTAACTGCAGCTGAGACGCGGGACCGCTCCCAGCTGGGTTGCATTTGCAGAAGGAGCTCTGACGCCCGCTGTGTCTATGAGCAGGAGGCCACTGCAGATCCTCTGGTCCCAGTGTTTGTCTTCACCTATCAGCCCCAGAGCCCGCTGATCATCAGCTTCATTAGCTTTTCTTTTCCCCTCTTCACTGTGTCATCGTACCAGATTTGTTCTATTTAGAACAATAACACTGATCACGACAAGCACATGTTACCTTCATGTGGCAGGCACAGGAGCCGTGTCTACACAGGACCCTGGCTGGCTGGGCCGAAGGGCTGCATGACGGCTCTGCCAACCAGGTGTCAGCCCACCCTGCATGTCATCTGAGAATCTGAAATGACACCTGTGGAGCCCAGGGTTTGAGAGGGCGTGTGCTGGGTCCAGATGGCTACGTGGGCCCCAGAGTGACAGCCACGCTGGGCCGGGGACGCAGGAGGCCTGAGAGAGACGTGGCACCTCAGCAAAGGCCAGTGGCCCTGAGACGCCATGAGCCAGAGAGCAGGTCTGCTTCTGCTGGCTCTAGCTCCAGACCCCACAAGGCCTGCGACACTTGACGCCAGGGGCTCTTTGCTCGGGTAAGTTTGTCCCCAGGGACATCTACCACCATCAGATGCATCCTTGGTTGTCAAAACTCAGGGGTGCTGTTGACATCATTGTGGGGGGAGGTGAGGTGCTGCTGAGCATCGCACAGTGCACAGGACAGGCCTCCCAAGAACTGTCCGTGGATGGGACTGGATGGAGCCTCTGCTCCCCAGGCTCCACTAGGCGGGGACGTGTGGTAAGGCCACAGCTCTGCCTTGGCTCCTGCACCATCCATTGACCCTCCAGTGCTGGGCTGTTTAAGTGTCCCCTCTGGGAGTCTGATGAGACTCTTCCTGGACTCCAGGAGGCGGGGGGTCAGCTGTCGCTCTGCAGCCCCAAACCTGGGGCTAGTGCTTGCAGAGAGGAGCACTCAAGGGCAGGGCCGGTCACCCGTGAAGACTCTGGAGGGGCAGCCCTGTCACGAGGGCAGCCCCTCCCACAAGCCCCTGTCCCCATGAAGACATAAACCAGCCAGATCAAGCTATCTGTTTCTGCTGTGCTCTAATTCCTGAGGATATTTGCACATTAGCAAATAATGGACAATTCAGGCAAAAAATGAATTCCTAATTGTCCAGGCTCAGACATCAGTTTAGGGCAAAGACCCAGGCCCTGGGTTTGGCGCAGGATTCCCTGCCGGCCCCTCGCACAGCTGAGCTGGATGACCTAGGGCATCTCTCTTGGCCTCGACTACTTCATCCATGAGAGAAGACAGCAGGAAATTACATGTGTCAGGAGCCCCATGTGCAGCTGGGGATGGGTGGGCGGGGGAGGGGGCAGCGGGGAGGGGGCGTGCTCAGCTGCCTTCTGAGGCAGACAGCTCTGGACAGGGGCTGGCTCCAGGAACTGGGGAAACCCGTGACCCACTTTTTTACATTTTCTCACTTTGAACATGGGAGGGTATTACTCGGCCAAAAAAGGCAATAAATGCATCTTTTTCACTGCCAGTCTGCGTAGGTGCACAGCAAGGGGCAGCTGTTTCTGAGGGGAGGCGAGAGAAGAATGCGCTCCCCCACTCCGAGTCTGAGTCAGCACACTCTGGATTTTTCTCTTTGAAGATTTTAAATATTTACTTGTGAGATGCACAGAGAAACAGGGACACAGGCAGAGGGAGAAGGAGGCTCCCTGTGGGGACCCCGATGTGGGACTTGATCCCAGGACCCAGGAATCAGGTCCCGAGCTGAAGGCAGACACTCAACCACCGAGCCACCAAGTGTCCTAGCACATTCTGGATTTTAAGGGAAGCAGGGAGTAGCTGCCCCAGAGAACACGGCAGCCCACCTCGCCACGCCCATGGGACACCGTCCTTCACCCGCACAGCCCCGGTTCGTGCTCTGGAACCCCTGTGCCTGCTACCTTGTACCAGCGGCTGGTTCCCCGCCAGGAACCCTTCCCCACCAGGACATTCTGCGGTCATGCCACATGAGCTTCCCTGGCCTGCAGTCTGTCTCCTGACTTTATTTACAGAAATGGTGAGCATTTATATAGTCAGATCTGAATACTTTCTCTCTTTCACGGTTTCTAGTTTCCTGTCTTAAGAAGGCACGTCCCATACCAAGGCCATTTAAACGTTCTCCGCAATTTTCCTCTCACACCCTGTGGCTGCTCAGGTCACTGTATGGGAAGGGGCTACATCCCCCTTGGGACCCATGAATGTCCAGCCCAAGCTGTGAGAGCTGACCCAGTGCTCTTAGCACGCTCTGTGATCCAGACCAGCGGTGGAAAATGCAAGACTGTACTTGGATCATTACTCCAGGACTCACGCTGCTCCATGCACCTGCACTCCAGCCAATGAGTGCCGATCAGCCCAGCAGCCCTCCCCGGGGACCCAGAGCCCAGGCTGGCCTCGCCCTCTCCTGTTCTCTTCTCTGCGCGACTCACTGAAACGCTGCTACGAAGTCCCTTAATGAAGGTCTAAAGGTGAATTGTTTCTAAAATGGCTGAGCCCCTGCTTGGGTTCCATTGTCAGAGAGCCAGACATGGGCTGGCTGGTAGGGGTGCAGAGGGACAGCCACCTCTAGGCAGCGTTCCAGGATTCGGATGGCATGGGAATGAGGGCCTCTTGCGCCCGCCAGATCTTTGAGGCCTTGGCTTGTGAGTCAGGGGGAGGACCTCCACTTTCACTCCAATAGTGACAGCCTGACAGGCAGGGAAAGGGGTGATGTGGGACAAGCTAATGCACTCCTGTCAGTGTCCAAAAGACTAAGCTTTCTGGGACCCCAGCCATTCCAGAAGGATCATTTCCATGCCCCCTATTTTTGTGGCACTGAAGTCAAGTTTACTGACTGGGGCCACCCACGAAACTTATTTACTGTACAACCTACGTTCGAGCTGCTTTTATCAATCCAGGCCTTTGCAAGAAAGATGCCATCCTGTTCCCTCACCTCCGCACCTGGTGCGGGTGCTCCTGGCTGCATCTGACCAAGCGCTCAAGCTGCCCATCATGATGTAACGGAGGGGGTCAGGAGCCTTTGGAGGAGACGGCCAGATGTGGACACAGAGTTCCCAAAGGACGTGAAAAGAGCCTCATGAAATGAGACCAAGGAGAAGCAATGGCCCCAGTTCTAGAAACTTCTCATGTTTCCTTTATCTGTGGCCTCCCAAATGACACCAATCACTCCACAGATATACTGGCTGTATGGGTCACAACAGGCCAGATCCTGATGCAAGCAGGCGTTTTAGAGAGGGCTGCTTTGACGCTATGGATTCCGGAATGTGGGAGCTAGCCCCGTCCAAGCACAAAATCCAAAGCCACCCTGGACCATTCCCACCAAGGCTCCCTGAGAAGGGTAGCAATGACCTGAGAGAAACCCGGTGTGACCTCACATGAGTCACCAAGCTGTTGCTGGCCAGCTAGGAGGGACCAGGACTGGTGTCTGGCCCTACATCCCAGCGTCCCCGCTGTGACAGTGACAGTTCCGGGTGCTGCCAGATGCTGCCAGGCGATTGAACACAACACCCACAGTCCAGGGAGTTCCCTGTAGCAAACCAAGGTGCAGAGACCTGCCCATGTGCCCGAGGTCCCAGGGGCCGAAGGGCTTGGCCTGCCACCCCCAGGACATTCAGCTTCCCGAGGCCACGGCAGCACAGGAACTTAGGGCAAATTAAAAAAGCAAATTTTAAAACAAATATGTACCTGACTGTTGTTTCTTGCTTCAAAGTCATTCCTTCCTGATCTTTTCTCTTCATTTAATTTTTGGTAACTCTCAAGGAGCAAGTAACAAACCAACCACTCGTATGCCGCCAGAGGGACTTCAAAACAAGAAACAGAAAAAAAAAAAAAAGTGACAATAAAGCATTTACTGTCTGCAGAGCACTTACCAGGGAAAGGTGCTGCCGAGAGCAGCTCGGGCAGATGGAGTGATCTTCAGGACGAGTGCGAGAGCCGGGCTATCTCCCAGACAGGGACACTGAGGCACAGGGAGGGCCCAGCCCTAGGTTGGGACAGGCCCAGGGGAGGGCATCCCCTGGCTCTGAGGCTACCCCGGGTTCTACACTAGTCCAGCAACCAGAGGCCAGGGAGCCCCAGAGCCATCTTTGGGGTGAGCATTGTTTGGGACTGCTGCAAATTCTGGCTGGTGCTCACGTGCTTAGTCTGACGGGACAGGACACATCCCCCGTGTCACTAGGGATTTGCATGGACATCAAGGACAACTTTGTGGCAGATGGCGGGTGAGCAGCAGGAGGAAGGGGTGCCCGATCACTGGCCAGCCTGGCCGTCGGCCTCTGTGGGGCTGGTGGGCAGCTGAGCTGGGAGTAGTTCTTATTGGTCCTCCTGGGGCCCCAGCCCGGGCACGTCCCTCCCAAGGAGCACTAAGGGAGGAGAAGTGCCCTAGACTGTAGACAGGCATGCACTGGATGGGCTGGAAGAAAGACCCATGGGAGAAACCTCAGGGCATCCCTGCCCTGCCCTCTCCCTGCCCCCAGTGCTATGCCACATCTGTGGACGGCTCGCCTCCTCGTCACATCTCAGCCAGAGATGACGCTGACGCTGACACAGCACATCCTATGTACCAGGCAGGTTCCAATCTCCTCGGAACACCCAACCAAACAGAGCTGCTACCTGCCCGATGAGGACACAGGGCAGGAGGAGGTGCCCAGGGTACAGAGGGGGTGGGTATGAGTCGTCTGACCTGGTCATGTGGCCCCGATCCACACCATCACCAGCCCCTACCCTCCAGCCCTGGCACAGGGAAGCCCTTCTGCTCAGCAGCTGTTTTGGACTCAGACCCCCAGGAGGGGCCATGGGGACCAGGCCACACTGGGTCTGGGCCCAAAACCTGGGCAAGTGGTCTTCCGGATTCCTCCTGCATCACACAGCCCGGTCCCAGGAAGAAGACAGGCGACCCTCATTGGGGACCCGTTGCAAACAAGCCGGTGCCTCTGAGGCCTCCTCTGCACAGCTATCTTCAGGCCGTGCCAGAGTCCTGCCAGGTGTGGTCGCTCCAACAGAAGCCTCCAAAGGACACGCCCACATCCTGATCCCAAACCCACAAACGTCTTTCTTGGGAAAAGATAGACAGAATCAGTTAAGGATCTCAAGAGGAGATTCCCCAGGAATGGTGGGCCCGAAACCCAACAATAGTGTTCTATTGGGATCAGAGGGGAGATACACACATGGGGTAGGCCATCGGGATAGAGGAGCGATGGAGCCATGTGGGCATGAGCCCAGGAGCAGCCGGGGTCCTGGAAGCTGGAAGAGGCAGGAAGGACCCCACTACCCCCAGCCCTGAGCCTCTGGAGGGAGCGCAGCCCTGCCCACGCCTTTTGTCCAGAGCTGCTGGAGAGAAAAATGTCTGTTGTTTCCTGGCCCTCCCGCACTCCCTACGATGGTCACTGCTACTGCATTCCAGCGGTCCCTTCTCCTAGCCCCAGGGCTCCTACACATGTCTGCTGGGCACTCAACAACTCGAGTGACACCTGAGCTAGCAGCAGCATCACACCTCTTCTCCCCAACTCCCGGGGGGCTTCATTCTCACCCAGCCATCTATCCAGTGAGCCCCTCAAGGCCAGCCAGACACCTGCCAACCACCTCCCTGCCCTCCCAACCTGCTTCCATCCCTCCCCCATGCTGCCCTTGTCTGGGTCCCCACTTCTTAGCCAATGTACCCTTCTGAAGCAGGGCTCTGACCTCCATGTGCCCACAAGGCAAGGCATAGATGACTGACCCCAGCTCACTGGCTGGCACAGGCCCGGTCTGGGTGTTGCCTGCCATCTGACCATGTTCCCACACCCTGAGCTCCTGTACGGCTGTCCGTTCCCACACAACCTCCTCTCAAGGTGCAAGACCCGCCACAGAGCTGGCTGCCGGGGCAACAGCACTCTCCCTACATCTGGTGTGCCCAAGCGGGTTTTCAGATGGTGGCCCCCAGCAATGGCAGCCAGCCCCAGCAAGAGTGAAACACACAGCCCCGGCCCTACCAAGCTCAGCATGGGGATGACCACATCCCCCCACTGGGGCTCAGAGAGGTTAAGTATCCAGCCCTAGGTCATGCTGACGTCAGAGCCTGAGGTCCCATGACTGCACCATGGAACCCCAGTGAACAGATGCAATGTGAGCCCCCTGCCCTGTATGTACACATGGCTGTCAGAAGCACACATGCTGAACCACAATTACTTAATATTTTTGCAAATTAGCCAATTTGACCAGAACAAACGGGCCTCATATTGTCAGGGGACAGCACAAATCCTCAGATGCACAGGATGGTCCTCAGCACACATGCCTGTGTGTGAATCGAAGGAAGCAGAGACAACAGGCCATGCCTGCCCCTCCCTCTCCAAATAAACAACTCATCCCCCGAAGGGAAATCTCTCCGACCTTCCTGACAGGCAACGCTCAATACAGAGGGGTCTGACGTCTCCAGTCCTACAGAGCACGAGGCTCATAAAGATTTCACGTAATCTTCACCACAGATCCAGCCAGCACATGCCAGGGCCGACATGCGGGATGGGCTGACCATGGGTCCCAGAGATGAGGGGCCGGCCACGTGCCACACGCTCCCTCCTCTGCGTGGACAGTGACGTCAGCACTCAGTGTCACTTTCACCAAATGAATTTTAGTTCCGTTTTTTTCCTCTAGAAAATGTTTTTACTTTGTTGGATCTTGCAAAAACCAGGGCACTCACAGGAAAAACAGATGACGCGGCCTGGCACATTTCCTGCTGTAGATACGCAGGAGGGGCCCCTGGTTGCACGGTGTCTGTGAGGGAGGGACTGGACTGAGCGCTGGGCACGTCCAGAAGCTGGCAGACCACTTGTTTACTATTGGGTTTTACAATGGGTGATGGTTTTAGAGGAAATAACGCTGGTTGGGTTGATGTTATAAGAAGCATAAACTCATTTTCTAGTGTTTTCTGTAGCAACACTTGGCTGAGGAGCTCTGTAACCATCTGAAATAGATCTTTAAGTGCGTCCTGCTTCCTACGGTTACTTTATGAAGGCAGGTGAAGACCTGTTAGGTTGGTTATCATCAGGAAAACCATGACAAAATGTGGCAATCAATAAGAAAGAAAACACTTATGAGCAGGAGCTTTCTAGAGGATGGTGATGATGAGGATGGTGGAGGAAGCGGCTGGGACATCAGCCCAGCCTGGATTACACTCTTGCTCCAGCTGATGACTTGGATTGGGGCGGCCCAGTCTCCTCTCGGGAAGACGGGCACAGTGCGTGCAGCCCTGAGGGGCTGAGTGGAGAGTGAGGTGGGTGTCCTTGGTGCCCACAGCTGCTGATGCTGTGAAGCCACAGGCTCTCGGCCTCTGATAGGCAGGCGGGTGGTGGCCCCAGGCCCGGGGGATGCTCACTCTGGGGTCTCCTGATACAGGGCCAGGTGCCCTCCTCCCATGACAAAGGTGCTCTGCTAACAGTGCTCGGTGGAACAAAGGGCGTCTTCGTGATGACTTCTGTGATGGAGAGTAGAGTACGCGTGGTTGTATTTACAACAGTGACCGGTGGTCCCTGAGCATGTACATGGTACCAAGCACGGCGCTAAGCGCCGCAATCAGCTCCCGCGACCCAAGAGCCTGACGGAGCAGTTACAGCTCTTCCTAGGGTGCGGCCAGCAGGCCTGAGGCGGGAAGGGGTCGCCCCCTTGCTCTTCTGGCAGTGGGGCTGCGCTTCCAGGTCCCCGGGGGGCTCAGCAGAAGGGCAGCTCCCGCCTGGCCAGGACACAAGCCCCACAGTTCATCACCATCCCACAGGAGCAGTCTCCAAGGGGCGTGTAAACCAGTGTTTCGGGTAGCAGCATGAGGCACTTGCCCTTGGTGCTCATGGGTCAGATGAAGGTGAGGTTTGTGACGTTTCTGCTGTGGCTTCAAGTGTTGTGTTTGGCAGGGGATGTGACAGAAAAAGGAGTGGGACCCCGTGGGAGGCATTCCCTTCCTTTAGTGACATTCCCGTTTGGGGGAGGCGGGGGCACAGGCTCGGGGCAGGAGTTGCACCACCGTTCCTTCTGCAGGTCTCATCCCACACTCATTAGGAGGCTTCCAGGAGCTGCTGGGGGGATGCTGAGCTTCGGAGCACAGCAGGCTCGGCTGGACCCGGGCTCCTTGCTTGCACTGTGGATGTGCTGCTGGACCTCCCAGAGCCCGGGGGCCGGAGCAGGAGCAGAGGGAGGTGACCCCAGGATGGGACCAGAGCCTCAGCAAGCTCCCTCCAGCAGAGATGCTCCCCCTGAGCCCTGGCACTCTGGTCCACACCCACTGCTGCCATGGTCACTGCCCTGTCCAGGACACCCTCCTATCTCATGTCCCTCTGTTCCTACAGTGGCCAGAACGGACTTTTCTCCAGAGTAACATTTTAGAGTGAATCATCACAACGAACCCCCACACGCAAGTCCGTGAGCAGCTCTCTTGCTCAGAATCGAGTGTTTCCCACAGCCCTAGAATGACATGTGCACTCCACCAAGCACATCCTTCCCACGGTGCCCCTGTGGCCACCACGTCCCTGTCACTGAGACCTCAGGCTGCCCTGGCCAGCCAAGCCCCAGTGCACAGGCCACCGCCACATAGAGCACCTGTTCCTGTGACCAGGCCTGTCCCCCATGGACTGCAAAGCCGCGTGACAGCAGGCACCTGGGTCTCGGCCGGCTCTGTCTTCCAGCCAAGCAGTATGCAAATGCTTGGAGATTGAAGGAACGACCAGCATAAGAGCACATGCCATCTGTAGGTTGCATATGTTCTGTGTTGAAATATGAGTGTGCTTGCTATGCTGCTGCCTACAGCACAGCACTCATTCCTCTCTCTGAGGATAGAGCCTGGGGTAGGGGGAGAAGCGGGGCCTCCACTGCTCCCCACTCCGCACAGCAGCGTACGGTATCCCAGGTTAGGGTCAGGCACTCAACAATCACAGCCAAGCACGAAGAGCAGGGAGCCCAGTGCCAAAGGCAGCTGAGCCTATTCGGGGCTGAGAAGAGTGAGTGTACTGCAGGATGGGGGCCACAGAAGTGAGGCCAGCAAGGATGGCATGTGCAAAGGCCCTGAGCTAGGGAGACTCCAGCTTCCTGTGAAGATGGCTCAGTCACAGGGGCAGCCAGTGAGCAGGAGCCCAGCCGCCCAGCAAGGCAGGAACAAGACCCAGGGCCTTTCCCTCTTCACCTTTAGGGAGAGAGCACCTGACTCAGAGTCAGGCCCACAGAGGGGCTGGATGAATCCAGGAACCACCGCCTACCCCTACTGAACACATGCCCCCAGGGATCACGACATGCCCCAGGGAGGGAAACAGGGAGACGGTGTGCTCACCTGAGGAGTCCAAGCAGCTGTTGATGCTGGGGCATGAAAACTTCTGACCAAGGATCTCAGGATAGGCTTCCAGAAAGTCCACAGTCTTCAGAGGGCTCTCTAGGCGCACACCACCTGCAAGCACACCCAGGATCTGGAGTGACCACCCCACCCCACCTTGCTGAGCACCTTGGAAACTGGAGGATCATGGTGAGCAACACGTTTCCTTCCTAGGGATGCAGGGTGTGCCTTGGTGGGAGGGCTCGCTCGGTGGGGCTGGGACGTCTCTTACGTTCAATGCGGGATGCCAACAGGCCGAGGAGGTAGCTGCTGGTCTGTTGCAGGAGGATGTTGTTGTCACCTTCATATGTGCAGTTTGGGTCGTTGTCATTCCTCAGGTCACCCAGGCGGTTCACTGCAATGAAGCCACGTGCACTTCGTCACTTAAAGTGCTCAGGAGAGGCAGGAACCTGACTGTCCTGGCTGGCCCGACCAAGACAGCACTCCCAGGCTGCCCAGGCCCCCACCATGCCTCCTCCTGGGCTGTGTCCGCCCAACCTCCCAACCAGATGCTCATCTTTAAGGAGACATGAGTAACCACACAGTCAGTGTGACTACTGACTTTGATGCCCCAGTGCAGTGCAGGTGAGCAGGAGTGCTCGAGAAATGCCCAGCATCGCCGGCTTCTCCCTCTGTCCAGCTGACACTGAACCTCAAGTGGTCAGCTGGCAGGGCCCCAGCGTGCAGGTCACGACAGACACAGGCTGCTGCAGGGGAGCTGCTTACCTCGTGGGGGGCGGGCATCATTTTACACAAGAAATTTCAAATGTCCCAGGGAGCCGTCAGTTAAGCGTCAGACCCTTGAGTTCAGCTTAGGTCAAGATCTCAGGGTTATGAGATCAAGTTCTGCCTCAGGCTCCACACTCAGCACAGAGTCTGCTTGGGATCCTCTCTCCTTCTCCCTCTGCCTCTCCCACTTGTGCATATACTTGCTCTCTCATTCTTTCTCTCTCTCTCTCAAAACAAATAAATCAATCTTGAAAAAGAAAAAAGAAATTTTGGATATTCCAAGACATCTCTGTTTTCTTTTGCTGTCTCTCCTGTCTGTTAAGGGACCAGATTCCTTCACATATTTTATAAGGTACGCTTTCTAGACGCCGTTGTCTGGGTCTCCATCCTCACCACACGTGAGGCTGGTGGGACAGGATGAGTGGAGGGAAGAGGAGTGGGACTCCCATGCTCACATGCTGCTGGGAACAGAGTCTGAGAGGGTGTAAGATGTTCTGCAGCAGACATGGGGCTTGTGGTCCCCTGGAACACCTGATCGTTTTCCCCCCAACTCCCTACAGACCACTCTACAGAAACAGCTGGGCATGACCACAAAGAAACAATTTGAAACAATTTGCAATTGATATTAAACCTAGGCAGAGCCCCATTACACGTACCCCACTGAGCGGGGTTTTGCTAGTTTCAGCCCAGCATTTGTATCCTGACACCTGACTCAGTTGTTTATGTTGTCTGAGGGGCTACAGATTCGCTTTCATTATTCTATTTCAAGCCCAACAAAGCAAACTATTTATGGTGTCTCTAGGAGCTGTGACAACAAACAGAAACTATAGAGCACTGCCCAGAGGACAAGATGTGTAAGTGACGTGGGCGCCACCACGATCACCCGTTCGTCAATGGGTAACGGGGAGGCAGAGCGTGGCGGGAGCCCAGCAACCACTGCTGGCTGCCTGCGTGACAAGTAACTGGAGCAGATCTTCGCTGAAAGCACATTAATGAGCCACAGACCATCACTGAAATGATTTAGGCAAGAGCCTAAAATGCTTTTGCACAGGTTATCAGCTTGAAAACAAGGTTGCTGCCGATTCTGTTGTTTGGAATGTGTGGAGCCTTCTCTGGATAACTACGTTTTACCAATCACTTACTGAACACCAGCACACGGGACGTGTCCTGAACACTGAACACTCTGACAATTACCACAAATGAGAGGCCACTGGCCATGTGCCACATGCCCTACACGGTGCTGGCCGAGGCAGGACCCTGTGTTGTGGTATACTGCCATCATCCTTGTTTTACAGGTAAGGAACTGAGGCACAGAGAGGTTAGCTGGCCCAGGTGCAGCTAGTGAGTGGCAGAGCAGGAGTTGGTCCCCAGCTGTTGGCGGCCCACTCTCTTCACCACAAACCAGCTGCCCAAACAAGAGCCAATGCCAATAAAAACTAACTCTCTTTTTCTAAGTTTTTTTTCACCCGAATAAGACCTGGTGCCAGTTTACTGCCAAGTTGTTCACCAAACGGTTACAATTCAAACGAACAGAGTATCTACTGTCTGCTCTGGTTTCTGGGGGGCTCCTTCACATAGTCTCCCCACTGTTCCTTATCCCCAGACGGAGGCCAAGGAACGTGAGCCAGATGCAGGGGCATCTGTCTAGGGCAGTGGGCTGGCAAACCTGCTTTGGGAAAAGCCCAGACAGTGAACATTTTAGGCTTGATAGAGATGACTCGACTCTGGTTGTCATGCAAACATGGCCACAGAAGATTCATGAATGAACGGGTGCAGCCACATTCTAATAAAACTTTATTTGCAAAAACTAGTGGTGGCTGACTTTGGCCCACAGGCAGTCGTCTGCTGACCCCTTGAGTCAAAAGTAGAGCTATAGACAGAAAACCCAACAAATGCTTCAAAACCTACCAGCCAGATAGCCATGTCCTCCACACGCCTCCCGGCATTCCTGAATTCCCTGCTGGGCAGTCCATGAGGCCAGGGGCTTGCTGGCCGACACCAAGGCATGGATCTCACGTCCGAGCTCTGCCTTAAGAGAGGAAGTCCAACAAAAACAGGTGAAAAGAGGCTCTGACACCAGAGGTCAAAGGTCAATTCACCCCTAGCGTCAAAGGCTTGTGTCCCCTCTAGTCTTATCCAGGACACCTGACAACGGCAGGAGAAAAAAAAACAATTTTAGCTTAAAAAGCAAGGATTCATCTCAGAGTGGAGACATTGTGCCATAAGCAGTTTCACAGCCACAAAAACGGATGGACCAGAGAGTTCTGTGCAGCAAACAAACGCCAGGACGTAAGGATGATCGCAAATGCAGAGCACGGAAGCAGAAAGTACATGTTATACGGTTTGTGCGAAGCTCATGAAACTGAAACCAAGCAGTGGGAGAAAGAAAAGCAAGAAACCAGACAGGAGGTGGAGACAGGGCTCCCTCCGAGGAGAGGTGAGGGTGGGGACCATGTCCCAAGAGACTGCGCAGGTGATGCGATTTCTAGTTGACGCTGCAAGGCTATCCCTGGCCAGTGGCCCCGGGCCTCACATGTCTCATGATATCCTTTTGCTTCTACTTAACATTTAACAGGTACAATAAAAAAAAAGAGACATGCACACCTGCTGAATAAGATGATCCCTGTTACCAGTGTTTTTGATGTGAAATAAGGACCACGTCTAGGTCCCACTGTGCCTCAGTTAAAGCACTGAGTTTCAGAAAGAATATAGCATGCTTACTACACTTTATTACATTATTAATAGGAGAACGATTCCAATGTCAGCTGGCAAAAGTCTCAGTGACTCACGCTGGGGAAAAACATGTTTAATCCCCGCGTTCCCGCGGACCTGTGTGCTGCTGAGCAGTGCACCCTGCTGGCGGCCTCCACACCACCCACCACCCACCCACCCCCACCCCCCGGATGTTTGCGCTGAGTACTCCAAAACGTGCTAATTCAATACAGGCCTTTTAGGGTGTTGTACATAACACCGATCTGCAATATTTCTGATCTGTTTTAAGACACATTCCTTGTGATTCATTTTACTCATGCCCAGGAGGCAACATGCAGGGCCATGGAAAGGCGGTTGTAAGCCGTTTACACAGGGATCAGCCAAGGATGAGTCTACATAGCTGCCGAGCTCAGTGCACACTCGTTTCTGGCATAAATCCTTGACTGTCAATTCAAATCCAGTCAGCTGGATTCAGACCTTTAGAGGGTTGTTTACGAAAGGATCAGAACCGTGAAATCTACTGAGGAGCCGGTAATGTGCAATCTGCCAAATCATCATGTTCTCAAAAGGAGGAGGACAGCTGAGCTCACAGCCTGGAGTCGGAGTCACGTCAGCACATCCCTGAGAGCTGGGAACATGGACACGTGCCCGCGCTGTCCAGATCAGTGAGGGTTCCACGAGGCCCGGGTGGGCAGACACAGCTCAGGAAGTGGCCCGGCAACCCCACAAAGCCACCACGGATGACGGGCGTTATTTTGAAAGACAGGCTGAGTCTGTGCCGATCAACATCAGTGAGAGTCAATGATGATGAACACTGCGGGGGGTGGGGGGGGCAGAGGGCAATAAGGGCGTCATCTCACCTGCCTGGCACTCCGGTCTTTCCCCATGAGGCCCTGCTGAAGGTCCACCAAGTCCAGGAAGAGTGATTTAGAAAAGTGGTCTAAGGCATAGACGGCCGCCAGATAGGGGAGCAAGCGCCATTGCTACAATCAAGAAGACCCTCACATTACCACACCACACATCCTCGTGGGGAGCCCACCCCCTCCCCCACGGGGAGCCCACCCTGCCTTGCAGAGAACATGCTCCCCCTCCCCAGAGAACCAGCCCCTCCGGATGGCCAACGGCAATGATGACCAGGGCAGAGTCCAGGGGCAACAGGTCAGCAACAGCAGGATCTTGCTGCCACAGCCAGGAGGCCCTCTGCCCTGATGTGCTTCCAACCCAGCCGGTCCCTCCCATCACCCCACAGTCTTGCCCACAGGTGCTGCTTCCTGTATACCACGTTATTGGAACAGTGATGATCAGCCCACCTACAACTGAGGAAGCCAGCCGACTGCACTGGCACGCAGGGCTAGACACTTTATAGCTTGTGCTCTGTGTGCCTACCAAGGATCAAGCAACCACCCCTCAGCCAGATGGGGAAACTGAGGCTCACAGGGAACTAGAAGTCCCCCCAAGGCAGGGACGAGGTCTCTTGCACATCCACTGCCTCATGGATGGAAAGGGGGGGTTGAGGAAAAAGCAGGAAAGGAAGTTGTCACCACCACCAACACCACCGCCATCCATCGCTTACTGAGTGCCGGGTGCCAGATGCCCTGCCGACTGCTTTCCATGGACTGGTGTATTTAATCCTCACAACCGCCCCACAAAGCGGTATTATCATCAGCTCTAATTTATTAATGAGCTAGTCAGAACGCAGAGAGGTTAAGTGCCTTGCCCAAGGGCACACAGACAGCACGGTGGAGCTGGGGCAGGAGCCTAAGCGCTGTGTCCAGGCAGTCAGGTACACTGACCTCACGAAGGACGTGGGATTCATGCTGGAGGGGACAATATGCGCCACAGTCACGAACCAGATATTCTGCTTCTTCTCATTTATTTGTTATTAAAACAGGCTCCCAGCCATGATAAAAAATGTTAAAAGAAACTGGGATTCTGTTATGGTTCCTTCCAGCCCTCACTTGGACATGCCTGCGCTTACACAGAGCTTGGGCCAAGACCAGGTCAGACTTGCTATTGAACTCAGACAGGAGCCGTGATGCCCCCCGCTGTGACCTGGAACTGCAACCCTATCCCACCAGGTGAAAGACAAGTGTGTGAGGAAGGGGTGAGGCCAGGTGTGTGAAGAAGTCAGGAAGGCGAAGGGAGGTGTGTGAGGAAGGGCTGATAGCATACAAGCACCGTGAGTATTCTCCAGGATAAAATTTATCTCCCTTTGCCAGGAACTAAGAAGCTTATTATTGGTGTTGCCACCTGGGATCCCCTTTTGCCTCCCAGGGTGCCTCTCTCCCGAGGAACAGCAGGACGAGTGTCCCTCCTGCTACTGGGTGATGTCACAATGAACAGCTTGAATGCCCAGCTGCTGTGGCTGATTATTCCCATAGGGGGTCATGTCTGAGGGACGCTGTGAACCGTCAGAGCATGGCCCTGGACATGCGGAGCCTGCAGTGCCCTCAGATACAAATGGAGTGAGCCCCTCACCAGAATGTGCTTCCTCCAAGGCCCTTATTTTGGCTCCTGTACACACTCCTTTTCAGGAGGACCCACTGACAAGAAGCCTGCTGCCCAGCTGCTAAGCTGCTAAGTTCCCCTTTCAGCTGGTCCATGAGCAGCCTGAGGTCTGACCTGCCCCCGGGAAGCAAAAGGCAGCACCCAGCAGAGCGTGTGCACATCCTCACAGGCGGGACTGGTGGCTGGACTTGCCAAACCAGTACCTGCATCTGATACTCCAGCACCGGGACTTCCTCCTCATCCGATGGCCCAAACTGACACCGAGTGGCCGAGAAACGAAGTGCTATAGAGACAGCCAGCTTTAAGTTCACAGTGGACATGCCCACAATGGCGACCCGGCCTGCGGACAAGGTGCCCAGGGATGCTCCGAAGCGCTGCCGGTCATCCTGTGGAAGAAAAGCACATGGTGAGCATGAGCAGGGCAGCTGGGCCACCTCGGGGACACTCCTGCAATGACCACAGGGCCCGGCTGCCAGGCCCACCCCTAAGAGCGCCCCCGACCCAGACTTCCTGGCCAGGGCTACAGTGTCTGAGTCGTAGATGGCAATAGCAGGGGACATTCAGGGGATGCTCTGCTATGGAGGCAGCAGGCAGGAGGGACGGGGCCACACGAATCCACACCCTGTGTGGGAACCACAGGCTCCTGGCCTCTCAAGTCCGACACAGTCTGGCTGCGCTAGTGCCAACATTCTGTTCCCATGACCCCCATTCCTCTGGAATTCCTCCTTCCGCACAGAAGACAACCTTCCTGAGGGCTGTGACGGTCACTGGCTGTGTTCTCTTATGATAGATGGTAGCCTCACATGCATCTGTGTTAATCTCCTGTCGCCAACCTCAGGGCCTTGGGCACGATTTTCTGCAGCAGTGGTGCCCTGGGAGCACCCAGCTGCCAGCCTTAACTGATCTTGCCATCCCGGCCTCCCTCACCTCCCACTGCCTCTCCTGCCTTCATTTCTTTTACTATTTGGACTTCTCTTCCAAAGTCCTATCCCCTGTGGTATTTGTGTGGCAACCCTGCAAACCCCAGTGAGCCGGAGAAGGTTTACAACACACTGACACAAAAATGACAGTTGGATGGATCATCGCTGGGGAAATCTGAAGGCTCAGAGAGTTCCACTCTGTGGGAGTCAAGCCCGTACCCTCTCTCTGGAGTATCTCATCTGTTTCTCTGTGAAATGTTTTCATTTTCTCTACAGTGTGTTTGCAGCGAGCACTCACCCGACTTCTCCCCAGGGCTTCACGGGCCGTCCATTGGGTCTTCTTCCCTTCCTTCACGTGGACATTCCTCTTCCTTACCGCTCCCTTCCCCTCCTCTCACTCTGCTGCAGCCTCTCCTATGTGCTAAGGACACCTCTCTCGGGCCTTCCAGCCTCCAGCCTCCAGCCCGTCCCCCGTGACACTCATCCCCTCTGTTGTATGCCTTCTGCTCCTTCATTTTCCTACTGGCTTCTGATGAATGGCTGGCACTACTATTCCCATTGGTAAGAGACTCTGGCTCCATGTTGCCGACTTTTCTCCTCATCCCTAGCATCCCTATCATGCTTGCTTCCAACCGAGCTGTTCCAACTCTGATCAGGTGGGTGTATGTTGTGGGACAGAGTCCTCTGAGGCTCATGTGCTCCTGGGGATGCAGCCACCTCAGCTGTGAGCTCAGGACCTAGGAGGTGACCAGCTGCTCCAACATGGCCATGGCCATTGTGCGTCTAACCCTCCAAAGAATTTAGGGATGTGATGAGCCCCGGACACCAGACAACACTGTCACCCCATTTGGGATATTTCATCACACAACCGATGCCCTCAAGCTCTTTAGGGGAAACAGCAGCAATAGGGCCAGCCTCCCTAACTAACCCTGGAGAGCTGGGTGGGGGGGTGAGGTGGGCAGAGGAGTGGACATCCATGGGCAGCTGTTGGCCAGCATCTGTCATCATGCCCAGGCACCAGAGCTGACCTAAGTGACACCTTCCTTGTTGGGGGTACTGGAACCTGAACTAGAAGAAATTTGCTGCCAGCCAGCCCAGCAGGGGTGGTGGGACTCCTTGCAAGCCTGGGGAGTGTCCTATGCAGCACTTTACACCTGTAAACTTCTCCATCTGGAGATACCTGTACCTTAAAGGGGGTGACGTAGGTACCCTCGAGGGTGACCTCTCCAGTCCGGTTCAGAAGGTCTTGGCGAGGAATTCTAACCTTGTGGAACATGGCAAATCTGTGCAGAGACACAGCAGGACTTCTGGTTAAACTGAGCTCTGGCCCTGGGGCTTATCTACTCTCCCTGCAGAAACCTGACAGATAAAAAGCAAAGGAAAGCTAAAAGGGTGACAATCCCCCTTCCCAAAAGAGAAAACAAGAAAAGTCACTAAGGGCAGGAAATTTCAACAAATTTTTCTATTTAAAAAGTAGATTCAGAGGGTGACTGGGTGGCTCAGAGGGCTAAGTGTCTGCCTTCTGCTCAGGTCATGGCCTCAGGGTCCTGGGATCGAGTCCCCGTGTCAGGCTCCCTGCTCAGCGGGGAGTCTGCTTCTCCCTCTCCCTCTGCCCTCCCTTACTTGTGCTCTCTTGATCTTGCTATCTCAAATAAATAAATAAAATCTTTTTTTTTTAAAAAGTAGTAAAAAAAAAAAAGTAAAACAAAAAATAACCCGTGATCTGTATGCGGTGGGGCTCTGTGCAGAAGCAAATGGCCATCTACTGGTAATCACGAGGCCAGGTGCCCTCATGCTGCTGGGACAAAGCTGGTTAGTCAGAAAAGGAGGGAAATGACTTTTTTTAAAGATTAGAATCTCTGGTTCTTACCCTTCAGTCTTATATCAGGATCCACAATATGATATGAAAAACCAGCAAACTAAGATTTTAAAACTCTCTTGTTAAGCAACAGAACCGTGTTATTGTACCCATGCTCAGAAGGCATGTGAATTCATTTCTTTTAGAAAGCTAAGAAGAATAGAGGCCCACACACGTCATTATAGATCACTTACGCATTAGCAATAGAAGGTATCCTTTAGAGCTGTCAGGTTGAGAAAACCTACTTCATAATAGTATAAGGGACCAGGTTATACAAAGGAATGGATGTTACATACACTGAGCAAAAACCCCAAACCGCCTTAGAAATCTCAACAGATCACACAGCAACTTATCTGATTACCAAGCGCATTTTCAGTGTCATCCAGAAAGCTCTTTTGACCCATAAGAGGCCATGGTGAGGAGCACAGTGTCACCAAGCCTGAGTGGGGAGCCATCCCTCTTTGTTCACACTAACTCCAGCCAGAACTGTGGGCACCCCCAAGATGGGGCCAGGCACCCCATCAAAGCTGGGCACCAGCTCTGCCCAAATGGGGTCCTGCCCCCCACCCTGCTCCACCTGTGTTCACTCAGCCGCCACTCTCTCTGGTCCAGTTCACTGCAATAATTGTCCCCGGGCTCTGTGCAGACCACATCCCTTGCAGAGAAGCATAGGCCTTTCCAACTGCTGATCAGAATGATGACACCCTGAGCACATCCCTTTGACCCATCCACCCTCCAGCCCCAGAAAGATGTGGGAAGCTCTCAGATGGGGCCTGGCCTACTGCTCCAGCAGCCCCACCTGCCTCCCAGCCTCCAACCAGGTAGCACCTGCCAGGACCCTCCAATGGGCCAGGCTGTCCCATGATCTGAGGCATGTCTCTCAGAGTGCCACTACATCCTCCAGAGGCCTGTCACAATTCTCCTCTCACTCTGCCCTGCAGCAGGTAACTGGTGGTCCCCTGGCACCACTACCATGTGAACCCATTCTGTGGTGACTGTTCACTGTCCACAATCTCACTGAGCCACCTCCTTCTGGTTGGCAGTTTCTATGGGCCTTACTAACCCTTTGTCATAGAGCCATTGGGCCTGACACTTGAAAGATGCTTGCTAAGAGCCGTATAGTTGGTTGACAGCAGGCAAGACATCGTGCCCTGGGTACCACGGGTCTCTCCACCACCCCTGCATGCAGGCCAGCCTTGGGGGAAAGATGCAGCACACTGTCCAGGTCTCCCAGGGAAGAGCAGAGACCCAGGGCTGGGTGCAGGGCTGGTGGCAACAGCCCCCTCCCACATTCCTTGGGGAACATCTAGGGGATCTGCCAGGCAAGAAGGCACAGCCGGCCACCAGGCCCCCGCCAGCATCCAGGCAAGAGGCCAACCTCTGCAGGTCACCCTCCCAAGTATGAAACCAGGGTCGGCTGCAGACCAGCTCCTCCACAGGTCTGGCTGGGAGCAGCTGAGGCACTGCCAAGGAGCGGCTGCAGCACCTGAACCTCCATGGGGCCGCTCTGACTGGCTGCAGTGGAGGCCCCCCAGGCCGTGAGCCCACACAGACACTTTTCAAGAATACACTGGATGCCAGCACCCCCAGAGTGTTTGAGCCTATTACTCGGAAGCTGAGGAATGCTTCTCCAAGCACAACTCAGCAAACTCAAAGTGCCTTTTTTAAGGAATGGAAAATCTTCCCTCGTTCTTGCGGCATGGAGACAGAACAAGTCTCAAGGGGTTTATACTCATGAAAGGATTCACCAAGCTTAACTGAGAGCAAACCCCCACATATTCTCTTTTGAGCACATGCAAACTACAAACGCCGTCCTAGAAACAGTCAGATGGCAGCGAGGCCAGTGTGTGTGTGTGTGTGTGTGTGTGTGTGAGAGAGAGAGAGAGAGAGAGAGAGAGAGAGAGAGAGACGGAGGCATAACATGGGGTGTGTGTGACAAGATGTGTATGCATGACATGTATGTGTGAAACAATGTATGTGAAACACAGTGTATAACACACATATGTGTGATGTGGGGTATGTGTGACACAGGGGTGTGACACAGTGTGTGACAGTGTGACACAGGGTATGTGTGTGACACATGGGTATGTGGGGTGTGGAGTGTGTGACATGGGTGTGTGACAGGGTATATGTGATGCAGGGTGTGACATAGGGTAGGGTGTATGTGGCGTGAGGTGTGTGTGGTGCGGGGTATGTGTGGTGCGGGGTGTGTGATACAGGTGTGTATTATGAGGGTGTGTGACACACAGTATGTGTGATGCAAGGTATGACACAGATGTGTGACACAGGGTAGGGTGTATGTGGTGGGTGTGTGTGGCATGGGGTGTGTGTGTGGTGTGGGGTATATGACACAGGTATGTGTTATAAGGGTGTGTGATGCAGGGTATGTGTGATGCAGAGTATGTGTGATGCGGGGTGTGTATGTACAGGGTATGACATGGAGTGTATATGACATCGGTATGTGTGACATGGGGTATGTATGACAATGGTGTGTGTGTGACACAGGGTGTGTGTATGACAAGGGGTTTGTGAGATGGAGGATGTGAGACAGGGTGTGTGTGACATAGGGTGTATGTGCACAGGGTGTGACATGGAACGTATGAGACACAGGGTGTGTGTGTGACATGGGGTGTGTGACAGGTGTGTGTGCACAGGGAGTGACATGGAGTGTGTGTGACAGGGTGTGTGCATGTGACACGGCTCTCAAGTGGCAGATGAGGCGTGTGTCCCCGTCATGTGTTCCCTGCCCCACAGGTGTCTAGGAGGGGACAGCACTAAGGGACTCGGAGGGCTCATGGGCTGGCATCAGCGGGGCCCCAGGACCTGAGTGAGTGGCCCCAAGTGGCAACCCTGCAGAGAACACAGGACCCGTTGAGGTCAGGGCGCACACTCACCCATTGTCTATACCATTCAGTCCCAGCTTCTTCCCCATGTCGCCAATCATCACCCCCGGCATAGGAAGAAGGGTCTTGGGGTTCCGAATCTGTACAAAACATGGAAGACAACGAGTGGCAGCCATTAGCACCTCACAGAAATGAAAAAGAACACAATAAAAAAAACCCGTGATTGAGCCCCAGGCTCCCTTCCTATATTTGTGAGGGGAAAGAGGGTAAACTGTGTCCCTCGAAAACGTGATCTTAAAGAGCCAGGGTTTTTGCAACTATAATTAAGCCAAGGATCTGCAGACAAGGTCCTCCCAGATCACCCCAGTGGGCTCCAAATCCAATGACAAGTGTCCTCTAAGAGACAGGATGTAGCCCCAGCCCAGGGACCCGGCAGCCACCAGGGCTGGACAAGTGGACTGTCCCCTGGAGCCTGGGGGCGGGGAGCTGGCCACACTGATGTCAGAGATCCAGCCTCCCACTCTGTGGTGCCGTCTCACTGTGGCAGTGCCCGGTGACCAGCATGGGAGCCGAGGAGTCCTGCAGCCTCGAGGCCAGCAGGAAGGTCACCTTCAGGTTGTCGCTGGACCAGGGCCATGACCACACACCCGTGCACATGCATGCTGGAGGAGACCTGGCCTGACATTAGCCCCACAGATCTCTGCTGTGGGGAAGGAGCACTTACTTAGACACTAGACGTGGCTAGCAAATGGTTCCTCACCGTGGGAGCTCCATGCCAGGGATACAGGGCTGCACCCGAGAACACCAGTAGAGTCGTGACTCCCAACCGGGTGTGAGCCTGCACCGTCCCCTCCCGCTGGGGACAGGTGTCATGTCTGAGAGAATCTGGCTGTCCTGGCTGGAGGGTACCCTGGGCGTGAGTGGGTGGAGCGCATCCCACTACATGGGGCTTGGCCCCATCACAAGAGGCTGACCCAGCTCAAACGTCCACTGCCCCGGCAAGAAACTCTGCTTTAAGGAAATACTGAGTTCATGCTATTCAGAGTTTAGTTAACTGTGGAATCGCTTGCTTTTGTTGATTTTGGTGGAACAATCATCTGATTCGATTGAATGCCATGATAACAGTATTTCAGATAAAACAAAGGCTGAAGTCCACATGTAAATGCTCTTTCCCCTTCCTTGTCTATTTCAGTAAGGCCTGGTGAAGATTCAGATGCTAACTTTTCATAATGGTTTGAAACTGAAAAAAGTTGGAAAGAAAGTACACACGGAGAGAAGATGCACTAAAAGAAAACAAGTTGGGGACGCCTGGGTGGCTCAGCCGTTAAGCGTCTACCTTTGGCTCAGGTTGTGATCCCAGGGTCTGGGATCAAGTCCCACATCAGGCTCCCTGCATGGAGCCTGCTTCTCCTTCCGCCCATGTCTCTGCCTCTCTCTGTGTGTCTCTCATGAATAAAAAAATAAAATCTTTAAAAAATATAAAAGAAAAGAAGTTGGTGCTTTTTGAGGAGCTGCACAGAAAAACAGCGCGGGGGCAAGGCCCAGTTCACATGGGAATCAATGGCCACACAATCACCACAAATTCTGCACTAACCTCCCCATCAAGGAAAGGGAGCAGACTAATGCCCAGAATGGAATTAGTTAAGGTCATACTGATCTCAAATTTGACCGTGTACATTTACAGTTTGTGAGGCCTGCCAACCGGACATGAGAAAACAAACCTGAGAAAAATCACACCCCTCCACCAGATGGCTACACCCTGTTGCATGCATCATACCTCTGAGTAGCTTAGTGATTCCCTGTTTCAGGCCCTCTTCCTTGATGGTGACCTCGGTAGGTGCACACGAGGCACACAGAAATGCCCTGCTGGATGGAGGGGTGACATGGTCCCGCTGGAGAGTCAGCAACAGCACGGCTCTCTGAATTGAGGGCCGGGAAGCCTGAATGAAGCTGAATCCTAGCCCAATCCCTACAAGAGGCCCATCCAGGTACAAGTCTGTACTCAGAGCAGCATCACATGGAAGCCTGACATAATGACAAGTGATTTCTGGTCTGCATGCGGGGACTCGAATGTGAATCGAAAATAAGCACATGAGCATGAGGGGAAAGGGACCCACTGGTCATCACTAAAATTAAAACCCTTTGTGTCTCAAAGGACACAAATGAGAAAATGCAAAGAAGACCTCTGGGACGAGAGAAAAATCATCTCTCGGACGAGGGGTGAGTCTCCAGGATGCACAAAGAGCTCTCAGAACTCAACAACCAGAAGACGAGCCACACAATCCAGAGAGGCACTGGACCAGTCACATGACAGGAGAACTGTGACTGTGACCGCGCCCTGCAATGCAAGAAGCCAAGCAAGAACCCCGGGGCCACAGGCCAGGGCTGGATCTATAACTGCCGGCTTCCCTTGCATGTGTCCTCCTGCCAGCCCAGGACCAACCTCTAGAGTCAGCCCACTCCCCTGAACAGGCTCGGTGACTGCCCCAGCCTCCCCGGGAACGGGGGCTGTCCCCTTGCTGCGGCCAGCTCTGAGCAAACGGCTTTGCCTTTGCCTTAGAGAGGGGGGAGTGGGACTATTTCCACAGGGCAAGGGACTTGAACAGGTGTTTCTCCAAAGAAAATACACACATGGCCAACTGGCACACGAAGAGCTCAACACCATTTGGGTTCTACGAAAATGCAAATCAAGACAGAACAAATACTAACACATGCCCATGTGGGTGCTTATTTAAAGAAAAAAAAAAAGGAAAATACATATTGGTGAGGGTCCAGAAGAACCCGGAGAATACAGAGTGGCGGGAACTGTGGGAAGTGGTACGGTGGTTCTTCAAAAAGTTAAACACAGCATGACCAGAGGACTCCACAAGTCCAGGCCTGGGCCGATGCCCCAAAGACCGAAACAGTGTCTCAGCAGACACCTGCTCGTGAGCGTTCACAGCAGCCGAGAGATGAAAACAACCCGAACGTCCACCGACAGGCAAGTGGATATGCACATCGGGGTCCATCCATGCAATGGATTGATTATTCGGCCTCAGAAAGCAAGGAAGTTCTGGCAGCTGCTCTAGTACGAGTGGACTTCAAACCCACACTACAGAAAGAAGCCAGATGGGAGAGGTCATGCTTTTGGATCCCTTCCACATGAAATGTCAACAGGCAAACCTGTAGCCAGGGGCTGGGGAGGGGGGGGGGAACAGGGAGCCAATGGGGGCACGGGGTGTTCTCCTCAACAGGAAAATGTTCTGGAACTCAGGACAGCCCTGGGGACACACCAGATGCCACTGAATTGTTCACTTCAAAGTGGTTAATTGTATGTTATATGGATTTCACCTCAATCGGGGGGGGAAAAAAAAAGACGTGGCTGACTTCCTTCTCTCCTGAGAGCCTCTCACCAGGAAGGTCTTAACAAAAATGCCAGAATAGGGTCTGGGTATGGGGAAGCGGGGCTCCCATTCAGTATCCAGTCGCCAGGACAGAAAGGCCTTAGACAAACTTCCAGAAGCTCGGGCTTCAGGGACACCGCAGCCGCCCTGGGCAGGCGGGACACGGGCCCCAGCAGGAAGGCAGGAAGCCCTGGCCCAGACGTTGGTACCAGGCATCCTCTTGGTGGTAGCTTCCTGCTCATGACCGGGGAACAGGCTACCTCAAGGCCCCCAAGATGGACTTCATGTCTTAGACCTGCCAGCTCAGAAGCATAGGAGGGTGAGGCTGGGAAGCCCAGGATTGTGACAAGTGTCTGAAAACTTGGCGCCGTGGTCACCAGGGGGATGGAAAGACTATCCCTCAAGTGATGGTGGGTCTAGACCAGGGTTGATTGACCCCAGCAGCCCTGAGTCCTGGGGCTGGATGATGCCCTCTTGGGGGCAGGCGGGTGGGATGTCCTGTGCTCAGAGGATGCTGCGCAGCTGAGAGCCACCTCACCTGTACCACAAAGGGGTGCAGGCCGTGGCACTGGCCCTCCGGTGTGTACAGCTGAGCGAACACCACAGCGTGGGTAGCAGTCTTGCCCATATTGCCCACCCAGAATTTGGCAGCTTCGAAATCGGGGGAGTGTATGATGAATTCCTGCACAAGAGAGAAAAAAAATTAAAGTTATAATCAAAGTTATAATTAACAACTGAAACACACGCAGAATTCCTTTCCCTTTTGGATCTATCCAACATTTTCTGTTGAAAATTCCCGTGGAAGACTCTAAGTGGATGAACGGCTGGCTCCTGTCTGTTGCAGGGAGCCCTGGTTTTAAACACAGCATACCCTTGTGTCCCATGACTTAACAGACACATCCATGGAAAACTAGGACTCATGTCAGACAATAAAATATACACCCTGGGGTGCCTGGGTGGCTCAGTCGACGCAGCATCTGCCTTCAGCTCAGATCGTGATCTTGGGGTCCTGAGATCAAGCCCTGCTCAGTGGGGAGCCTGCTTCTCTCCCTCTCCCTCTGCCCCTGCTCATGCTTGCATGTGCTTGCTCTCTGTCTCTGAAATAAATAAAATCTAAAAAAAAAACAAAAAATCGCCAACTATTCTAGCAGCTGGCCAGTGCCCAGGTACTGCTTACTGTGATGCCTCACCAACTCGGGGTGCCGTCCCTGGCCACAGCCCTTGAGTGGAGCCCCTCCTCTGTGCTCCTACTGTTTCTCTTTCCACGGCCTCCCCCCACCTACAACCTCCATAAGGGCCACATGCCCAGGAGCACAATGCAGACACTTGACACGTTGGGGTGAACGAACCTATGGATTAAGGGATGGGCCGGGAGGCTGGTTCAGTGAGGCAGGAGATGAGCAGAAGAGCAATGAGGGGGTGGGCCAGGGGCCTTGGAGGGCCTAGGGATAAGGTGCGGTGGTGGTGGGGCGCTTGGTAACCAGACTGAGCCACCGTCTGACCATGAGTCACCTGCTGCGTACACTGCAGGCCAGTGCAGGCAAATGCTGTGCAGGTTTCCTTCTCCCTGAAGGAGGTAATGTCCTCATGCAGCCTGGGGGTGTGTACAGGGTTACCAGCTCCAGGTGCCCGGGTGACTACCTAACAGATGCTGAGACCCCACAAAAGAAAAGTAGAAGCAGGGGTAGGCCTGCCGGTCCTGCCTCCTGCTCACCACCCTGTGGCACCAATGCCTACCACAGCCCTCACCCAGCTGCCGCTCAGGGCAGCGACTCCTCCACCAGACACCTGTTCTCGGCAGGAGTCGCTGAGCAGCAGGCTGCCTCATAGCCATGGCACTGCAACTCTCTGTGCCCAAGTCTGCCCACAGCCTTCACGCAGTCTCAGCCTGTCACACCTGCAGATGTCCTCCCTGCATGTGGCACACTGAGCCCACTCCCTTGACGCCTCCACAGTCCCCGGTGCACCTGACTTCTCCTTGCTAGTGTCCGTTCATGTCTTCCCCGAGCACATGTGAGTCCCTAGAGCAGAGATCTCTCTGTTGCACTCATTGCTAGGTGCCCGGTCTCCAACAGCAGGGCCAGGCACATACGAGGTGCTCAACAATAGCTGTCGTCTACACGGATGCCTAACCTGTGGCCCACAAAGGGCTCTGGGCTGCCAGTCCCTCCAGCTCTGACATTACGTTCTGATCTTCACTGAGGTGCAGATGCCAACAAGCAGCGGATCAGAACCAGGCTGCTCCATGGATGCCACACTTCACCCTGCCTCCCCACTTAGCACTGGGAGCCCACAGTGCCAGTGTGCAGAGCACAGAGACAAGGCCAGGCCAGAAAAACCAGGGTTAAGATAAAGGCATCTGGTTGCTGGAAAGCCAAATAAAACCCCAAGAGGGCCATGGGCGATCTCTCCACTCTATTCTGGTGTGGAGAGCTATTGGCACTGTACCATGACCACTGCTCCCTTGGCCCTGCCCTGCCCTGCTGGGGGCTCCCCTTAGGTCTATGGCTCTGTGCACCTGCAGGCAGCACCCACGCACATGGTGCACACTCAGCCCACATTGCTGAAGAATGAATGAGTTATGAGTGAATACACAGCACAGGGCTTATACTTTCTGTTACAGACTCTTCCAAACACGCTACCAACAAGAGGAAGGCAGAGGGTTCCTAAGACACCAGACCAGGTGTAGAAAGAGCAGTGGAGGGTGTGGTCTTCAGAGAAGTGGAGTGGCCCAGCACAGGCACAGAGGGCATGGAGAGAGGAGGCTGCCCTGACCTGTGCACCTCATCCTCTCCCGGCCCTGCCTTCCCCTGCAGCATTGACCACCCAATAAATCATGACTCCACTAGATGACATCTGTGTACCCCTACTGGAGCCTAGAATGTCTGCTCCCCGAGAGCAAGGACACAGTCCTGAGCGCCCATGGCTAAGACCATCACCCTCATGGGGCAGCACTCCACAGATGTGCTGGCGCAACGCACAAGGCACAAGGCAGCAGCCTTCAGTGCACACCAGTGTGTGCCATGGGGTGCAGCAAGGCAGTGCACTCTGAGGGGCCAGATGTCAGGGCAGGAGAAGACAGAGCAGGCCCCTGGCTGGCAGAGCCTGGCCTCAGATGGGGACCAGGCAGCTAGAAGGGACCAGGGTCAAGGAGAGAATCTTCAACAGAGAGTGCATGCGTGTGTGCACAGGCAGGGGGAGGGGCCTAGGGAGAGGGGGAAGCAGACTCCCCAACACAGGGCTCAATCCCAGGACCCTGAGATCATGACTTGAGCCAAAAGCAGATGCTTAACTCACTGAGCCACCCAGGTGCCCCGCACTGAGCAGCTTGAACCGTTTACAAACCCAACACCAACAGGCTGCCTGGTGAACCAAGAAATAAACCCTTTATGTCCCAAGCTGCCACTTTGCAGGGTGATGATCTCAATGTGCATGTGAAAAGCACACGTGCACAAGGACGGGTTTCTGAGCATAGGGACAGCACCTTACACATCCTTGAAGCCCAGGGGCCAATGGGAACATAACAAGTACCTGGGTGGTGGGGTCATAGTGGGCCGTTGTTCGGATGGCCTTGGCATTACTCCCATGGCTGAGTTCGGTCACGGCAAAACATCCAAAAATCTAATATGGAAGCACAAAATGGGGTAAGACAAGAAAGCTCTTTCTGCGCACCCCTGGAGGGGCCCCACCACCATCCTTCTGGAAGGACTAAACTATAGGCCAAAGCACCAACTCCCCACACACACAACCAGCTGGGGTCTTACGGGGTCTTGGGGCCATGCTGGACGCCACGGCCCTGGCCTCTGGGAACAGTGAAAACTGAAGGCTTCGCTTTGAGAGCCACAAGCTAAACCCACCAAGCACTGGGGATTCGGGACAGCATGCTGGGGAATACACGGCCCCCAGGGGCTCCCTCCTGCTCCCCGAGGTGCACGGGGAGAGAGTGCAGACACACAGGTCACTGTAGCTCTCGTCTCACCTCCATGTTGAAGATCTTTGGAAGGTACTTTAAATGTCTTTCAGAACCCAAGTTGTATATCGCTAATCCAAAAGTCTGAAAATACAAAATCAGCATGCAAACAGGTGGAGTTAAAAGAGTCCTGCTGTTCTGCACGCTGGGAGTGGGAGTGGCAAGTACTGTAACGTCCACAGGGGGCTGAGACCTGGGTCCCTGGGCTCAAGCAGCTCGTCTAAGTCAAGGGCAAGCACCTCCCACTAAAGATGCCCCAGGGAAGTCCCGACCAGCCAGATGGGCAGAGATGGGAGCAGAGGGGGAGCAGAGGGAACGAGGGTGCAGGACAGGGGGCAAGCTCTGCTTTCCATCAGAGCCCCATGGTGGGCCACAGGTGTGCCAAGGCCGCAGACACGTCCTCACCTCTGTCCGTGTACCAGCAATGGGAGCCCTGGCATCCCCTCTGACCTGCTTTCCCTTCCCTGCTGGTTTTTGCTTTTTTTGTCAGGTTTTTTTGGGGCATTAGGGGGATGGGGGTTGGTATAAAGAAGTCCTAAGCTCCTCTTCTTATAGGGCTTTAACTTGCACTGTATTCTCATCAAGGCCTCATGTGCACAAACTTGTATGTACAGCTGAGAAAGGCAGGACATCTCCCTAAAGCATCATGGGATCTGCCCACACATTCTAATCTCCATTCTGGCTTCCCACACAATTTTTTAGAAATCACTTAATATATGTGCTGCCAAAGTGAGCACTAGAAATCTCTTAAAAGAAACATTTCCCCAAATGCTCGCGTCCCCATGAACCTCCACAAGCCAGCAAACGCTGGCATGCCAGCAACCACCACACCCCGTGGGCACCGTCTACATCTCATGAGGACCTGCTCTCTCAGTGCTCTTCCTCCTGCTTGGGCCTGGGGCGGCTTTGCATGAGGCAGGAAAGGCATGCTCCCCACCCCCCACCCCTCCTCGCCACCCACTTACCACCATATTCAGCAAGAGCCTGATAGCCAGGGACCAGTCATACATGCCCAGGCTGTCGGTGAACACCTGAAACCACAGAGGGTTCGCTACCATGTCCTCCAAGGGGAGGAGGTTGTACTCCATGATTCGCTTGCAGCGGAGGAGGCTCAGCTCCCGGTACCTCTCCAAGGAGAGATCTTCCTCATGGGAACGAGCGAAGAGCGGGTCATTCTCCAAAGTCGAGAAGATGCTTTTCTGGAAATGCAGGAGACAGGGAGTGGGCCACTCAGAGGCCAGTGACAGATGCTCACTAGGCTCTTACTATGGCTTTTCTCAAGGCTGCTGGCTGTGTGGGACACGGTCTGACCCAGAACCCAGGGGCAGATGAAAGTCCTCCTATGCTCCTTCTTGGAGCTGCAATGAGGCTCGCTTGGAGGGCTCATGGGACACAGGCCGTGCCGGGGACTAGCTGGGGTCTTCAGAGGCCAGATGGCCCACCTGTGCCCATGAGCTGGATGCCCAGCACACCCTCGGGGGTCAGCCCGGCCCACTGCCCACACGTCTCACCTTCAGGCGGAGCACGTCTTCGCCTTCCAAGAACAGCACAAGCTCCTTCCAGCAGAAGGAGGCTCGGGCACGGTAGGCCTGTAGGGGCCCCCTGGGGAGATCCAGCAGCAAGGCATCTGCACCGCCTTCCAATGGGGACGCCATCACTGGGAGTCAGCCTGCAGGACACAGATGACCTGAGCCAGCGAGCGAGTGCACCTTGTGACAAGTAGGAGAAAAGCAGACTCCCAAAGTGCCGGCCAAAGAGAATTGTCATACAAGACCTCACGTCTACCTTCCCTAAAGACAAGGTAAGAAGGCAGCTGAGAGCAGAGGCTCCATGCTTCCATCCGGCCCAACAACACCTCACCCTCTCCGGACCACCGGACCACTCCCCAAGACCCAGCCAAACCTTATGGCCCAGGAAGCCTCCCTCTGGAGTCCAGTCAATGCTGGCCGGTCCACTCTGACAACACAGGACAGGACCAAAAGTCCCCTTCCAGCCTGCCTGGGCATCGGACAGGAGCCTCTAAACACGGACTTTTGTCCTGAACTCTCTTGACAAACAGACATCTGGCTTCCCACCAATAAGCCAGGCCTCCTGAGGCCCAGCCTTTTTGACCAAAGAATGATTCTGGAAATTTCTGAAAGGACTGGTTCCTGTCCACACTGCCCTGGCTCTCAAGGCACAGGATAGGAGGGGCCTGTGAACCTAGACCTAGGGGAGTGGCAAGAAGGAGAGTAGGGTCCCAGGCGTGGACCTCCAGCTGAATCTTCAAGGCCTCTGAGCACCTGAGTACGGTTGCTCAATACTGCTAATAAGTAATAGGGACTTGATCTCTTGACAAAAGAACTTCTATGCTTCTGTGGGGGGGGGGAGGTGCAGAGGGGCCTGTGTGAGCACCCACATGGTTATGGCAGGGACTGTGCCCTCTGACCCCATCCCTTCTAGAATCAAAGGCATCCTGAGAAAGTGAGGCTACAGACCAACGTCCCATATGAACACAGGTGCACAAGTCCTCAAGGAGTCCTGCAGACCAAATCCAGTCACCCCCCATGACAAGGGACGTGGGCCCCAGGAAACTATGGGCAGCTCAACATGTAAAAGTCCGTTAGGGGCACCTACATGGTGCCGTCAGTTGAGCGACTCTTGATTTCAGCTCAGGTCATGATCTCAGGGTCGTGGGACTAAACCCCATGTTGGGCTCCAGGCTGGGCACAGATTCTGCTTGGGATTCTCTCCCTCTACTCCTCCCCACCTTTCTCTCTCTCTCTCCCCTCTCCCCCCCCCCAGAAAAATAGAAAAGAAAGAAAGAAAGAAGGAAAGAAAGAAAGAAAGTCAATGTAATATGCCATGCCAACAGAATGAAAGACAAAAATACATGATCATGTCAATGGATGCAGAAAAAGCACCCAAAACAAAATCCCATGCCCTTTCATGAAAGAAATTCTGAACAAACTGGGAGCAGGAGGGAACACCCTGCACCTGATAAAGGGCGTCTATGAGATGTCCACAGCTATCTTCGTCCATTAATATGGAAGACTCAGTGCCTTCCCCTGAACATCAGGAATAAGACAAGTGTGTCTACTCGGCCTCTTCTCATCAACATGCTCCTGGATGCTCCAGCCAATGCAGTTATGCAAGAATATGAAATCAATGCATCCCGATTAGAAACCTATCCCTTATCTGCTGGTGATGTGATTAAGTACACAGAAAATCCTAAGGAATTCACTAAAAGAAATAAGTTCACTAAATTTACTAAAAGAATAAGTTAGTTTGGCCAGTTCTTTGGGTACAAAATCAATATGCAAAACTCTACCGAATTTCCTTTTTTTAAAAAAAGGATTTTAGGAGTCAACAATAAAGGACCGAGGGTGCCGAGTGGGAGTGGCCTTGGCGATTGAAGTGAGTGAATTCAGATATATAATTCAACCTTGTTAGAGGGCTTTTTAAAAAATAAAAAGTTGATTCGGTGCATGAGAGCAAGTTACTGCTGCATACCGTTCAGAGACTTACAGGTGCTTGCCTGCATTGCAATAAAGGACTCATATATTGAGCAAGACTTATATTATCTCTTCGTTTTGGAGAGCCTAATAAACTGTTATTACAGTTTCTCTACTGAGTTTTGAAGTTTGAAGTTTGAAAGAGACATCTTTACAATTAATACAGCATGAGCACAGCCAGAACAGAGAACCCTGTTATAATGGGTCTTTCCAGTCAAAATGGTCAGCTGAGGGGCCCTGTGAAGCGCAGTGGTGGCCCCAGAGGACGGGGGCACACAGACACAGCAATAGATGAACCAGCTGAAAAATACCAACACAATCAATAATGGCACTCAGCAGCAAGCAGAGAGTATGACCTCCACTATTAAACCTGGTGATGACTGGAAAAAGACTTTAAAACTCCCTCCAAAGGATCTAAGAATCAAAACTTTGGATGTGACCTCCACAAAAGGAAATGAGTTTGAAGATGACTGTTTGAAACGGGAGTTACTGATGGGAATTTTTGAAATGGGCTGGGAAAAGCCATCTCCTATTCAGGAGGAGAGCATTCCCATTGCTTTATCTGGTAGGAATATCTTAGCTAGAGCAAAAAATGGAACAGGCAAGAGCAGTGCCTACTTCATTCCCTTACTTGAACGGCTATACCTGAAGAAGGACAATATACAAGCAATGGTGATTGTTCCCACTAGAGAACTTGCTCTACAGGTCAAATTTGCATCCAGGTCAGCAAGCACATGGGAGGGGCCAAAGTGATGGCAACCACAGGAGGAACCAATTTACAGGATGACATAATGAGGCTTGATGACACAGTGCACGTGGTGATAGCTACCCCTGGAGGAATCCTGGATCTTATCAAGAAAGGAGTAGCAAAAGTTGATCATGTCCAGATGATAGTATTGGATGAGGCAGATAAATTGCTGTCACAGGATTTTGTGCAGATAATGGAGGATATTATTCTCACGCTACCTAAAAACAGATTTTATTATATTCCGCTACTTTCCCTCTTAGTGTACAGAAGTTCATGAATTCCCATTTGCAGAAACCCTATGAGATTAACCTGATGGAGGAACTAACTTTGAAGGGAGTAACCCAGTACTACGCCTATGTAACTGAGCGCCAAAAAGTACACTGCCTCAACACACTTTTTTCCAGGATCCAGATAAACCAGTCAATCATTTTCTGTAACTCCTCTCAGCGAGTTGAATTGCTAGCCAAGAAGATTTCTCAACTGGGTCATTTCTCAACTTGCTTCTATATCCATGCTAAAATGAGGCAGGAACATTGAAATAATGTATTTCATGATTTCCGGAATGGCTTATGCCGCAATCTTGTTTACACTGATTTGTTTACCCGAGGTATTGATATACAAGCTGTGAATGTGGTAATAAACTTTGACTTCCCAAAGCTGGCAGAGACCTATCTCCATCATACTGGAAGATCAGGTCGCTTTGGTCATCTTGGCTTAGCCATCAACTTGATCACATATGATGATCGCTTCAACCTGAAAAGTATTGAGGAGCAGCTGGGAACAGAAATTAAACCGATCCCGAGCAACACTGACAAGAGCCTGTATGTGGCAGAATACCACAGCGAGCCCATGGAGGACGAGAAGCCCTAACAAGCATGTTTTCACAAACTACAGAAGGCTCATTTGGATCCGTGACACATCGTTTGGGGGGGATGCTCTTCTCTTTGTGGGTTTTTCATCTTCTTTTATTTTGGAACTATGAAGACTTAAAAGAGCTCAGACATTTTTTTCTTTTTTTTTAACTGGTGAAGAGAAAAAGCTGAAAAGAAGGAATTTACCTTTTTTGTTCCACTTGTTTGCACTGTGTGCTGACTGAACATTAGTTGCACTAACTGCTGGTTTTTAAAAAATGTTTTCTGGGGAAGGGGGACAAGGAAGGAGGAGAAAGAAGAGAAGGGGAGAAACCCTAAAAAGAGAAGAATCTTGATGAACACACAAGCTTGTCTACAATTTCAAAATTCTCCAACAGCTGACTCTTGAGTGCATTTCAACTTCTGTTTTTTAAGCCTGAAGAGCTTATTACTTATTTGTGCGAAGTGCCTTATGCTATGAGACCATTCAGAATATCATCTTTTAGATGCAGCCCAAGAAATCAACAATAGTAGTTCTTTCCTTTTTTTATTTTTTTCCTTCCTATCTTTAAAATTTTTGTCTTTTTATTTTGATTTCAAGTTGGAGTCTCTCTCTTCCCTTTATACCCGATACTCAAGCCCAGGGCTGGAAAATGACACATATTAGTAATGTTAAACACCATTCTCTTTTTCTTTATGTGGAGGAGTTGATATGCAACTGCAGTTCATCCGCACTATAAATACATGTATTTAAAAAAAAAAAAAAACAATCCCAAGTAAAAATTTCTTCTGGGCTGAGTAGATTACAACATCATCGCTCCCAAAGGAAAGAGCAATCTATCATTGCAGGAGCCATATGACAAGCCTTTGTGCTCTACAGCAGAACACTAAAGACTGCTTTATATACGTTTCCATCAGCAGTTATGGCACTTGATGTGTAGACATGTCAGAGCCTTGACCCTCTTTCCTCTGTGGCAAAGCGTGTTCCATAGAAAACTGGGTGTATATACTTGTATAAACTTTGTAAATAAGTTTTTTTCTGGGTTCACATATATATGTATATACATACATATACATATATTTTTTTTGTTGGATGAAGGTTGCTGGGATTAAGGGGATTAGAATGATTATGGGAGCAGCTAAAGATGAGAGGGGCTCAGTTTTCCACAACACTAAATTCTAAAAAGTACTTTGGCCTCTTTATTAGAGAGAGCAGACCTCTGTGGTGACCCTGTGTTGGAAGAGGGACCCGGAAGTCTGGGATTTATTGTTTGCTGCCACACTGTATCATCTAATACCTTTGGAGAACACCTGCCAGAGAGAGCAAAGAAACTTCAGAAACCTATAACTCAAGATGTTATTTCTTTTTTTTTTTTTGAATTTTTTTTTAATTTTTATTTATTTATGATAGTCACAGAGAGAGAGAGGCAGAGACACAGGCAGAGGGAGAAGCAGGCTCCATGCACCGGGAGCCCGACGTGGGATTCGATCCCGGGTCTCCAGGATCGCGCCCTGGGCCAAAGGCAGGCGCCAAACCGCTGCGCCACCCAGGGATCCCCTTGTGTAGTTCTAAGCA